ATTAATTTCAATAGCGATGCTATAATTTATTCGGAATACTTTCGGTGCGTCGAAATATTCTCTTAGATTTTGTTATTTTAATTTTTTTATTGTATATGATAGAGAATAATTAATAGAGGTGATATTTTGACGGTTCTCGTGTTTTGATTTGTCTGGTAGTTCATGCAAAAAAACGTAGGAACGAATCTCTTATTAGCTACGCCATTTAAAGTAATAGAAATATATATTTAAAGTAACCTGCTTTAAATATTATTGTTCTTTTGGTTTTGTTTGTTTTTATGCCTCCAATTTGTGACAAAGGGTCCGAATGGTGACTGCGGATTTAGTAATATAAGCGGTACGAAATTAAAGTGCGGGACGGTTCAACTGCGGTTCGCGCGGTTTGCTGGATAAATGCGGTTTTGATAAACTTAGTGGTGCGGAATTGTGTTGATTGGTGAAAATATAGTTTGCGGAATTTGAAAATTGAACAAAAATTAAATAAAATAAACCGATATATTATTATTGATTTAAAAATAATATATTAATATAAATGTCTATTTATTATTATTGATTTAAAATTTTTATTTATCATTTAGTAATTTTAAATACCAAAATTCATATGAAAATATTTAGTACACATACTTAAATTCCATTCATAGCTTTAATAAATCTATTGAAATGAAATTTAGTAATGTTTTCAAAACCGAACCAGATACCAAATCGGTATAGTTACTTATTGACCGGTTCAACCGGCCAAACCATGTTTTCTGTGTAAATATATATGTACTCTTATATTTACCCAATATAAAATTAAAAAATAATTTTACATATGATATGTATTATGTTTTCTTTTATTAACTAGAAAAAAATGAAAAAAAATAATTATAAATTTAGCTATACATAACAAACATTTGAATGCTATGTAAATTGAAATTGACTAAAGCCAAATGATTGACTATTTAAATTACCATATTTATCCATTTTTACAATTAAAATTCTACATTTTATAAATATAACAAAATAACAATATAATATGAGAAAATAGAATATAAGAGCTAACAAAAAAAAATACATTATTTCTTAAAAAAGTAATTATATATACATATATATTTATTTAATTATACTTAAGTTAAGACTAAAATTTAAAATCCGGCTGAACTGACTAGATCGGTCCAGCCATTGATCCATTTTCAAAACATTATATAAATTTTTATAAATTTTCTTAAATCTTGTAAATAGTTCATAAGTATTTGTAAGTCTTTTATCACAAATTGGTTTAGTGCTAATGTGTAGATACATTAAAATAACTAATTTATTTAATAGTAATCTTTTTTTTTGAAACATTTAAAAACTGATTTAATAACTAATTACTATTAGATAACTAATTTAATAGTAATCCCTAAATATTATAACTACATCCAAAAGTTGTTACGTGTTTTAGGGTCAGCATAATAATATAATGTAAGAAAATTGTCTTGATTTATTAGTCAGTTGTCGTATATACAAATAAAATTTGTTAGTAAAAGTAATAATTATTTTGTTCTTCAAGTGCGGTTTTGTATTGAACCGCTGCCTTTTGTCTGATGAGATATGTGAAGTGCGTTTTTCAATATTTACTTGTGTTCAAAAATATGTGCGTATTTACTTTTGACAATAATGGTATCTTTAGAAAAACGCCTTTGTATTATGTTTTGTGTTGAATGGTGACATGTGCGTTTTTTCTGTCCCATCATAAGAAATACGCACCGCACAAGTGTTACCATTCATAACCAAAGATCTGATTCTAAATAAATTTTATTTTAAACAGTTGGATTGACTTATTATATATCTTGATTACTCGAATAGTATATAGAAAAGTAAAATCACTGTACGATATTAAAACATTAAAAAGGCGAGAAAATGAAATCTGAACTTATCGTACACCTTTTGCTGAAATCGAGGCATCAAGTTGCACGACATGGTATCAACTTGCAACATTAATATAGCGCATTTTATCAATGATGATATCAATAAGACTTAACTTACGCTATGTGCGCAGGTTGTGTCAAATGAGGCCAGGGCCATGTATAACGGTGGAGTTGGTGGGCTTACGTACTGGAGCCCAAACGTTAACATATTGCGAGACCCACGATGGGGACGTGGACAGGAAACTCCCGGTGAAGACCCCGTCCTAGCTGGTAAATACGCCGCCAGCTACGTAAGAGGTTTACAGGGAAACGACCGTAGCCGGTTGAAAGTCGCTGCCTGTTGCAAACATTTCACTGCGTACGATCTCGACAACTGGAACGGCGTCGATAGATTCCACTTCAACGCTAAGGTTTTACTTCTTTTTTCTTCTTGCTTCAACTTTTTAATTTATTATCTTAAATTTTCCGACTAGAGAATTTCACACGTGATTGTCAGGTGAGCAAGCAAGACATAGAAGACACGTTCGATGTTCCGTTCCGTATGTGTGTGAGGGAAGGAAACGTGGCGAGCATTATGTGTTCGTACAATCAAGTTAATGGCGTTCCGACATGTGCCGATCCTAATCTCCTAAAGAAAACAATACGTAACCAATGGGGTCTCAACGGGTAAGATCATGCTACGTGTTACCTGAGCTAAAAACATTTTTGTAATATATTTGATACACATTGCTGACCTTTGACTTATATTTTGTTAACAGATACATCGTTTCCGATTGTGACTCTGTTGGTGTTCTATATGATACACAACATTACACTGGTACTCCTGAAGAAGCTGCCGCTAAATCCATCAAAGCTGGTATTTAATTACTACAATATTTTTTCTAACCATTTAAACTGATATCTATGTAAACCGTGAGCCAACATATCTATGTATATTTAATAACTATTCATGTGCTTTATTTTAGGCTTGGATTTGGATTGTGGACCGTTTCTAGGAGCTCATACCATCGATGCGGTGAACAAAAACCTATTGCGTGAGTCAGACGTTGACAATGCCGTAGTCAACACGCTAACAGTACAAATGAGATTAGGAATGTTCGACGGAGACATAGCAACTCAGCCATACGGACACCTTGGATCAGCACACGTGTGTACACCGGTTCACAAGGGACTAGCTCTCGAAGCAGCTCACCAAGGAATCGTCCTCCTCAAGAACCTAGGCCCGTCCCTACCTCTCTCTCGTCACCGCCACCGAACAGTCGCCGTTATCGGACCAAATGCCGATGCAACAGTCACAATGATTGGTAACTACGCAGGGATTGCTTGTGGATATACCAGTCCGGTTCAAGGAATATCCGGTTATGCAAGAACGGTTCACAACAAGGGTTGCGCGGACGTACACTGCATGGACGACAGATTGTTCGATAGTGCGGCTGACGCAGCTCGTGGATCTGACGCGACGGTTCTTGTGATGGGTTTGGACCAGTCTATTGAAGCAGAGTTCAAAGACAGAAACAGTTTGCTTTTGCCTGGGAAACAACAAGAGCTTATCTCTAGAGTTGCTCGGGCCTCTAAAGGCCCAGTTATTTTAGTTTTAATGTCTGGTGGGCCTATTGATGTAACTTTCGCAGAGAAGGATCCGAAGATCTCAGCAATTGTTTGGGCCGGGTATCCGGGTCAGGAAGGCGGAACCGCAATCGCTGATATTTTATTTGGCGCTGCTAACCCTGGAGGGAAGCTTCCGATGACGTGGTACCCTCAAGAATATTTGACAAACTTACCAATGACTGAGATGTCGATGAGAGCTATCCATTCGAAGCGTATACCGGGTCGAACTTACCGGTTTTACGACGGTCCGGTTGTGTACCCGTTCGGACATGGTTTGAGTTACACGCGGTTCACGCACAGCATAGCCGACGCGCCTAAGGTGATTCCTATAGCTGTACGTGGTAGAAACACCACCGTGTCAGGGAAGTCTGTACGTGTGACGCACGCTAGGTGTAACCGTCTATCTCTAGGAGTCCACGTTGATATCAAGAACGTTGGGTCGAGAGATGGGACTCATACGATGCTTGTGTTCTCAGCTCCGCCAAGTGGAGAATGGGCGCCAAGAAAGCAGCTGGTTGCGTTTACGAGGCTACACGTGGCGGCAGGGGAGCAGAAGCGTGTGCAGGTGAATATACATGTGTGTAAGTATTTAAGTGTAGTGGACCGGGCGGGGATCCGAAGGATACCGATCGGTGATCATGGGATTCATATTGGAGATGAGAGTCATACCGTCTCGCTTCAAGCTTCTACTCTTGGAGTCATCAAGTCTTGATTCTGGTTTTTTATTTGTTTGCTATTGAATAACTCTCAAGAATTTTAAATGTTTCTAAAGAAACAAATTGGATTGTTGTAGCAAATCGATTGATGTGAGGGTAACCTCTTAGAAAAAAAAGAAAAGAAATGTCATTCTTATGATTTTACACAAATATTTTTAATTGAGTTGTAATGTATGGCTTATGTTTTTCTTATAAAAGATAGATCTTATTGCTCTTTAGTGTTTATTATGAAAAGTTGTATTATTTGTAAGTGTGTTAATTGCAGTGTAAGAAACAATTCATTTGTTTCGGTTTATTTGCAAGTCTAGTGCACAAATAGCAATTAACGCACTTATAAAAAATACAACAAAAACAACTCATATAGAAAACAAAAACAACTCATATGGATCATGCACTTCAAGAGATTAGTCTTGGGCTGTTTGGATTTGAGATTTATTTATGAGTTACATAAAAAAAAAAACAACTCATATAGGACGTGGGATGATTATTATAAATGGGCCTTCCTTAGGCCCAAAACTTAATGCAAAGAGTCGAGTCCTTTTTTTCTTAATAGAAAAAGCGAAGTGTTCCCTTTCGTCCTCGTCGCCGATTTGCTACGAACCTTCTGCCGGCAGAAGCTGCTCCCGTCTGTTCATCTCCGGTGAGTTACTCTATTTCCACCTTCTGAATCTTCAACCGTCCGCTAGCTCTCTGGCTTAGAGGAATTGAGAATTTCGAGTTTAGATTTTCTTGAATTTTTAAGCACTCACACACTAGTTTCGGTAATTTGCGTCAGTGAAAGAAGAAGATGAGCAACACACCAGCAACGGCGGCTTCGTCGTCGAAATCTAAAGCTACGGGAAATTCTCAAGCGCCCGAAAAACGCAAACCCCTTTTTCAAAAAGAATGTAAATGTTTTTTTTTTTCGTTCTTTTTTACATGGTTTAAGCTACGCTGTAATAACAGTGGGTTTTTTGTGGTAACAATGGGTGCTTTTTACCTTCTTATGATTTTGCAGTGCAGCATATGATGTATGGATTTGGTGATGAGCAAAACGTAAGCTCTCTTCTTTTCTACAACATCATATTAGTGTTTATTAACTCATGATGCATATCTAACCAAACTTCTTTAGAGATCTAAGGGACGTTCCTTAGCGATTTTAGTTAAAAGCTAAGGGACTGTACGTTAAGAGACCCAACGGACCTGCAATAAACACGTTCTTATTGATACTTATGCAAGTGTTCATGTCACCTCTGTGTTTTAGCCGCTTCCAGAGACAGTGGCGCTTGTAGAAGACATTGTTGTGGAATACGTCACTGATTTGGTATTCAGTTTTTCCCTCTTTTTTTTTTTTTTACATTACAACTAGAGAGTAGCTGAGTAATATATTTATTGGCTGCTGCTAACCTGAAAAGAGATTTTTGTTTTAATGTTAAGACACATAAGGCTCAAGAGATAGGCACAAAGCGAGGAAGGCTACTAGTTGATGACTTCTTGTATCTTATCCGCAAGGTAAAATTACTCAAATGAAACCCTGAGCCTGGCTAAGGTTTTGTGTTCTATCTAATATGACTATGTTCTTTTATGCAGGATTTGCCAAAACTTAACCGGTGTAGGGAGCTGTTGGCAATGCAAGAAGAGCTGAAACAAGCTCGCAAGGCTTTTGATGTTGACGAAGAGAAGATTACTTCACTCGATTGATTGGTTGATCCTTCTTTCTTATCAGTAAGCTTCTTTTTTTCTTTTTTTTTGTGTGTAAACCTTCTGAAAGTTAGTCAGTGGTGTACCTTTTGACATCAAGACTGTAACTCAATGTAATAGTGAACTTATGTGCTCTGTTTTTTTTTTTTTTTTGTGTGGGTTGCAGAAACTAAAAGCCTATAACAATATATTACCAATTTATTCGCCAAAATTGAAGAGAACAAAAAAAAAAAGAGAATTAACAAAGAAGAAAACATCTCTTCGCGAAAAATTGAAAACACTTTTGTGAAACATTATACAACGTCATTGTGTTCTTTGTATTGCAAGTAAGAGATTTGCCTCTGCAACTTCATCTGTTGATAGAAATTAGCAATAAACTCATCTGCTCTCACATCAACCCCTTTCTCACCTTCTTCCTCTTCTTGATAATTTTCAACCGCACGATCACATTTCTCATTGCGAGAGTCATCGTAATAGCCGTAGGATCTAACACTATCTTGACGGTCCAGTTCAAAGTCGTAATCAAAGTCAACGGGAGGAGCAATGCAAGGCAAGAGGAACCTCATGGAAGCAGGACGATGCATCTTCACGTTAAAGATCGGTGTCTCGTCGAAAGAGAGCTGTTTCTCACCGAGATAACGGACGCTATCAACGCTGCTAGAATGATGATGAGCTAGGGCTTTGAGATGCTTGGAGACCAAGTTACGGAGCTCGAACATGTGCCATTTCTTGAATATGCCACCTTTTCTTCCCCATAGAAGAGCCATTCTTACAAGACTCCAAGCTCTTTGTGTTGCGACTGATCTGCTTTTCTTCTTTGATTCCCCCATGGATTTGGTTTATTACTTCTTTTTTTGGTGGATTTGTTCGAAATGTGAGAAACAGTAAAGCGTTTTTGATGTTGTTGCTTATGCTTCTAGCGTCTTCAGGTTGTTGTGTTGATGGGAGAAGGTGTGGACACTTATAAATACAAGAAGCAAGCAGCTTTTAGCAGTTGTCGACGCGGAAAGAGAGAGATTTACAAATAAATATTCAATAAAATAAAGTTGTTTATGGACAAAAGAAAAGAACATCAAAACTTATTTCATAAAGTTTGATTTCAAGTGGGACCTCTCAGGGCTGTACGCGGGCAAGATCTGAGCTGTTTAGCCGTTTTGTTTGTTTGTTCAAAACTTCTTGTGGTTTTTTAACAGTTGATTATTAGTACTAACTGGTTTTGACAGTCGATTATTAACAGTTGCGTGTAAATCTGTGTTACATGTTTCCGGACCATGTGCCTTTCGTTCCCAATATTATTCTATTAGTCTAGGATTCTTTACCACCGTTCTCTAATCAATCAAAGGTTAAGTTTTAGTTATTAAAGATTAGAAAGTGGGTAATTAACTAAAACAGTGAACCTCGTGACAAAACAAATAAAGTAAGGAATCGTGGTCGGTCTTTATACAAGCTTGTTTACACACATATACTGTATATGTTATCCGTAACTGTAATAATACGATCTGAACAATACTTAATGATTAATTCAATCAAATTTAGATGATTGGACTTGATTAATAATTGTACAAGTATAATAGAGATCTATGTACGTACGATAGAACCTTCGTTGTAATCACATAATAATTGTTGAAATAATCAGACTCAGAACAATAATAAGCAAAAGACTTAAGGGAGAAGGTGATTGGTTTAGTTGCGTTGCCGTTGAATAATGTCTTACGGCTGTCTCTGTTATTTTACTTTCCACGCAACCGTGTCCTATCATAGATTTTGTTGTGTGTGTTTTCCTTTTAGGAATTTTCCATTTTCTAGTTTTGTTTTCCTAGGTCTCATCAGCACCTCATTGTTTAGCATTTTTACTTAATACTGTTTCATTTTATTTTTGTTTTAGATTTTTATACAGAGATTAAAAAATATTTAATTTTACATATTTTAAAAATAAAATATTATTATCTAAAAATTTAATCATATTTCAACCAATAAAAAAAATAAAATTACATTTAAATTAATAAATTTTTCATTTAAATCATTAAAGAATATTTATTTTAAAGCGAAAATTTGATGAGAATGTTAAAAAGACTTAGTAATTTAGTTCAAACAAAACCATATAATATGTTTTATTCAAAACTTTAGCTCATTCCCAGTTTGATTTAACTCAATTCGTTTATATGTTCTACAAATAGACATTTCAACAATATATATTACACGAATAAAACTATAAATTATATATTACATTAGTATTTTATTTTTTCTTTCGACAACTCTCTCGTTAGCTAGGCAACAAATTTTAAAAGTCTACATGAACAGATCTTATTTCCTTTTCATTTTTTTTTTCTTCCGATCACGGTGATTATTATATCTGATCACGGATCACCGCGGTTTCCAACAAATTTTTTAAAAGTTCCTTATATTGACCAAAAAGGTTTTATGGAATAACTTATGAAGCCACACACATATTTATGGTCGATGTACAATGCATCTTCTAAGTACAATGCTTGAGAATAGTTAACAGGTTGGAAAGTGGTGCAACTTCCATGGAACCACGTTTTGAGGCAGATTATTCGAGCAAGTAACTTAAGTTAGGGTCAATCATTTTAAGGACTTTGTATTTTAGTTACAATCATTTTTGTTCTTCTAACCAAAACTACTATACCTCGATTATTTTATACGTTTTCTTTTGTAACTATAAAATCGACCAGATTACATTTTATACGATTTTTAGTTACTACTATTGTTTAGATATCAACTTAATCGAAAGCCTAAACCATTCCACATATACAATAGGAATTAAAAGATGTAATTTGGTCGATTTTGTATAATTTGAATATAAAATAAATACAAAAATAAATAAAAGTTTAACCTGGCCGTGCTTGCAGTTTACCTCTGGCAAATGAGTTGCGCTTCAGTTTAGGACTTAAACAAAACCCTAATATACATATTTATGTTACAATTTGGTCTTTATGTCCTTTGATTACGTTGCAAATAACATAATTAATTTTCACTTAACTTGTAAACTGAGGAAACTCTAAATATACATATTTACGGAATCACATGCTCAGCTGGCATGTTACCAACTTTCGCACCAAAGCTGAAGCAAAAAAAAAAGTTATTTTTTCTTTAGTTAATTAACAACCGCAATAATTATAAAAAGTAGACTGGTTTAGGCTGTCTTTCCTTATTCCCTTCGTCCCATATTGACGGCAGAAATAACGCGCTGTTTCTTGTTACAACCTTAAATACCCTAAACATTATAAGAGACCGTTGGTCACAAATTGTTCCTTCCCTGAATCTTTTCCTCAGAAATCAAGAAAACAAAATCTCTATCCCTTTGTATCCAGAGGGAGAAAGATTTTGCTTTTCATTTGATTTCTCGTTATCTTTCTGATATTTTTTTTGTTTCTAATATTTTTGGTAGTATGGAAACAAAACATGAGAAAGATGACCAATTAGAGATAGAGCCAATAAACAAGAGTCCGACCATGAAGACGAAAAAGATATCACGTGGGATGCACGTGTTCTCCGTCGTCATGTTCATGCTACGTCGTCGCCGGAGGAGAAAGGCTTTCAACACCAGGTTTTGGAGGCGTGTGGTTGAGTCCGTACGTAAAGTACATTCCGAGATTACGATAATGCCAAAGTCAAAATCTACCAACACAATCCTCCTCCCTCCGGCTCCTCCTCCGGCAACAGAAAATGGACAAAACGGCGGGGATGATGCTGATGGTGATGATGTTGTTGTTGTTGCTGATGAATCCAGGGATCGTTTAACGGAGGCTACTGAGGTTTTCACGGCGGCATCTTCTTCATCATCATCCGGAATCTCGGGATATGCATCTGCTATGTCTTTACGTGATTTGGATCATCACTATGATGAGGATGAAGATGAAGATGATGATGATGCTGATTGTTATAGCGATGTTGAAGGAGGGGATGAAATGATAGATGAGAAAGCTGAGGAATTCATCGTGAGATTTTATGCGCAAATGAAAATGCAAAATCAGGTTTACACTGAACGTTGCAAAGCCAAAGGGATAATGATAAACTGATGATAATCAATGGTTTACGTCGGTATCGTGCATGCATGAAGATGAGATTATGGATATGTCTCGTTAATTGATTGATTTGTTCAAACGAAGGATCGATCCAGCGATCTTCAGGTTCTCTTGGTCGATTCTATTTTTTGGTATTATTAACTTTTTCTTCATTTTTGTTTTGTAATATGTGAGTGTACTTCAATTAATGAAAAATAGGAAAAATGTATGTGTGTATGTCTTATTCAATATATTTATTTGATTTTGTGTGTTTAACTTTATTTTTCTAATGCCTTTTTTTCAAAAAAACAACTATTTTTTGTGATCAAATTTTCGTGTGTGTTTAATTATCTCCATTTCCTATTAGTTGGAAATTGGTTATACAATAAACATCATATTTGACTCCATTCATTGTATTGAATTCTTTTCGAAAATTGACCAAATTGTTTTTTCCAACCACAAAAATCAATGAACTAACTAATTACACACGCATATATATAACACAACTAAGCTTTTCTTCTTTTTGATATATATTGACGATGGTAGCGTCTAGAAATTTGATTCCGTTTCATGAAGTACTCATTGAAACAACGGTGACCAATGAAGTTTCCATTGCCAAGAGCTGGATACTCGCCGTACGATCAGAAAATATTGAAGAGCCAACGGTAATCATCTCTCTAAACTCCAAGACAAACCCTCAAGATGATGCAAAAACCGCAACTCTTCAGTTATGCATCAAAACCAAATGTCTCATACTTCAACTCCTTCATATGAACCAAAACACCAACCTCGAAGAATGTCTTGGTGATCTATTTCGAGATAATCGATTTGTTTTCGTAGGAATCGGTATTGCGGAAACGGTCAAGAAGCTCAACGGTCTAGTCACAGCTGTTGTTAAGAAAGTTGATGTTCGTGATTTGGTAAAGGTTAATCATCCTATTAGTTATGTGGCGAGATCAAGGCTTAGCTTGAAGGCCATGGCTTGTGAGTTGTTGGGGTTTGGTTCGTGGAAACCAAAAAGGAATTTCTGTCCGAGAGATTTGACTAGTAGAGTCCTTGATGAAGAGCTGGTTAAGTTTTTGTCCATTGATGCTTATGTTTCTTATAAAATTGGGTATAAGATGCTTAAACAATAAATAATTTGGAAAAAATGGTTTTATTCAATCATTTTGTTTGCGTCCATTTGTACTAAACAAGCTGAGATGATTGTGTCTATATATATATATATGGCAATGGAAGGATGTTGGTTACAACACCATATCCCACAAGTTTTAATTCATATTTTTCTTTTTCTAAAACATTAGAATTATATATTTAAATTTTTTTGAGTGTTTAGAAAATATTAGCGGAATTCATTTGAGAAAAAAAAAATTTAAATACAAAAATAGTTAATATAAGAAAAATAACATTTTTTTCTATATTCAAATGAAATGACAGTAGTCTATTTTTATAGATAAAAAATAATCTTAAATTTTGATATAATTTTTATTATTTTTTTAAAAAATTATTATATAGAAAATAAGTTCAAATTATTGAGAGATGATAAAAATCAAAAGCAATCTGTATAACCAACGTGTTCACTCGCAACGCAACATGTGGCAACCTACTCTCAAAAAAATTTTGATCAAAAAGATAGGCCAGTCCTTGATAATAATAGATAAACATGGCGCTAAAACTTCAAAAACTTGTGGCAATATCGTGATCAATACTAAAGCCCAGGCCCAATTAGTACTTTCGCTGAACCATAGCCACCTCTTCAACACATGACGTGACGTTGTATAAATAGTATTCGTACTTGGCCTCGACACCAAAACCAAAACCCTTAATAATCCTCTTCGTCTTCTTCTCTTTCGCTCTAAATTTCGAACATCAAAATCTCCATCGATCAGTGACAGTGAGCAAGCATGTCTCTTAAACCTAGCGCGAGGACGGAGGTTCGTAGGAATATGTACAAGGTATCTGTGGATGCCGATGACGGTCGAAGGAGGAGGGAGGGTGATATGGTGGAGATCCGGAAGAACAAGAGAGAAGAGAACTTGCAGAAGAAGCGTCGTGAAGGCCTAACTCCTCCCTTGGCGCTGCATGGGCAGGATTTCTACTCCGATAAGAAAGTATGTGTGCTTGGTCTTCTCTAATTATCTTTCCTCTTTCATGATTTGGCTCTGATTTAGATGATGGTTAGTTGGTTATGTATATAGGCATGTATTTATTGTATTGAATCGAGCTCATCTTTAGATGTTGGTTATATATATAGGCATCAATCCGTTAGGGTTTGGTTAGTATGCATATTAGATCTAATTAAGAATTCGTTTTTATTGCAGTTGGAAAATATGACACATATGGTTGCTGGAGTAATGTCAGATGATATAAGTTTGCAACTGGAGGCAACTGTTGGCATCCGGAAATTGCTCTCAGTTGGTTTGTGATTTTGAGTGATACCAAATATTATTTAGTTTTTTTTTTCTTATATAAGTGGTTGATTTTTGTAGATTATAATCCACCCATAAATGAAGTTATTCAATCTGGTGTTGTTCCTCGCCTTGTCCAATTTCTTTCCAGTGATGACCCCCAACTTCAGGTTAGAAGCATGTGTGTCTTTTTTATATTTGATGTTTAGCTTTGTGTTTCCATTAATATTTTTGTATTATTATTCTGCTACTATAGTTAGAGACAGCTTGGGCGCTCACGAATATAGCTTCAGGAACATCTGAACACACTAAAGTCATTATTGATAGTGGCGCTATCCCCTTTTTTATCAATCTTCTTGCTTCTCCCAGCGACGAAGTCCGAGAACAGGTATGTTTATCAAATTTTGTAGGATTCACTACTACCAATTGTTTTTATTGCTTTAGTGACATTTTTAGTTCTATCTATGTCTTCTCTTCTGATTACAGGCTGTCTGGGGACTAGGCAACGTCGCTGGTGACTCACCAAAATGCCGTGATTTTGTTCTAAGCTGCAATGCCATGGTGCCACTTTTGGCTCAATTCAACGAGCACTCAAAGCTCTCCATGCTTAAAAACGCTACATGGACTCTATCAAACTTCTGCAGAGGGAACCCTCCGCCTGCACTTGAGCAGGTTTTAATTTTTGACCAAGTGGTTTAAAGTGTCTCTCCACTAGCTGTTTCTTGAATCTGATAATATTTTCATTTGAATTTTTTTTTTGGAGTCTAGACAAAACCAGCTCTACCAATTCTTGAACGCCTTTTGCATTCAACGGACGATGAAGTTCTCACGGATGCATGCTGGGCTCTCTCGTATCTCTCAGCTGGTAACGACGAGAAAATACAAACTGTTATCAATGCTGGTGTCATCCCTAGCCTCGTTCAACACCTAGCGTTAGTATTATCTCTCTTTCTACCATCAAATGTGCATGTTACTGAATTCGCCTCACTTAATCTGATTTCATTTGTTTTGTTTACTTAGTCATCATTCGCCCGCAGTTCTGACTCCAGCCCTCCGTACCATTGGTAATATTGTAACCGGAGATGACATGATGACTCAGGTGCCAGTATTGTCCATTAACTAAAACCACCATATTTATATATATGTTTTGTAATGATGATTAATTATTGTCCTAACAGGAGGTTCTTAACCATCAAGCGCTTCCTCATCTCTTTTCCATTTTGACCAATTCATACAAGAAAAGTATCAAGAAAGAAGCTTGCTGGACTATCTCTAACATTACAGCTGGAAACACTAGTCAAATACAAGTGAGTATATTTATATTTATAAAATCAAAAATCCTGTTTTTTTTTTTTTTTTTAACTAACATTGAAAGCAAATTTTGATGTGCAGCAAGTGATTGAAGCCCGCATTATTCAGCCTCTGCTTCACCTGCTTCAAAACGCTGAATTCGAAATTAAGAAAGAAGCTGTTTGGGCAATCAGTAATGTAACTTCTGGTGGCAATCCTGACCAAGTCAAGTAAGTAGAGTAGTCTTTTTATCTTTTCCCTACCTTTTTTTTCAAAAACTGAAACTCTAATGATTCTTTGTAAGGTTTCTTGTGGACCAAGGATGTGTCAAACCGCTCTGTGATCTCCTCATATCTCCCGATCCAAGGGTCGTCCTAGTGACCTTAGAAGCTCTAGAGAACATTCTTAAAAATGGCAACACCGAAGGCTGTAACCTCTACGTGCAGCTGATTGACGACGCTGAAGGTTTGGAGAAGATTGAGAATCTTCAGAGTCACGACAATAATCTCATTTACGAGAAAGCTGTTCAAATCCTCTCTACGTATTGGACGGAAGATGATGACGATGAAAATGACGGTCTTGATCTCAATGGTTTCGAATTCGGAAACCAAAGTGGCAATAATGCTCCTACAGGCGGATTCAACTTTGGTTGAGTGTCTAATTTTATATTGCTTGTTCGTCAAGCTACCTATTATTTTGTGTTTAACCTTGGCAGAAATTTTTGATAAAAAGGTTGTTTTTGCAATTTTAATAGTTCAATATTGATTTTGAGATTTGTTTGGGGCAAGTTGATAATTATTTATGCTTTATGGATTAAGATGGATAAATCTAGTGACACCGAGCAGCTTCGAAGCTTTTCTAGTAATACGCCACGTCATTACCACGAGGACAGTTCGTTGACACGTGGGTCCTCTCACTTCTAAATATATCAGAGAAACAGATAAAAGTAGAAACCAACGTACAAAGAATAACTACTACTACTTACTAATCGAGAAACATTGTGAAGAAGAAAGATGATGCAGTCCCGATTATTAGCGTTTGCATCAGCGGCGCGTTCCCGCGTCCGACTAGTCTCTCAGAGTCGTTTAGCGTTTGGATCATCAACATCTGGCCGAACCGCTGATCCAGAGATTCATTCCGGAAACGATGGAGCTGATCCAGCTGTTTTCCCGAGAGACCCCGAAGTACAAATCTTATTTTAATTCTTTAGCTTCTAATTATTCAAAGTTTATCTAAACCAAACTAAATTTGTAAAATGTTTTAAAATACTGCTTAATCACTTATTTTAGCTTCTAGTTTTTTAATCACTGATTTTAAATATTCTTTTGTGACATGATTAATGTTTTCAGGGTATGGATGACGTGGCGAACCCAAAGACAGCGGCAGAAGAAATCGTTGACGAACCTCCAAGGTCAAGTTTAGAAGAGCAACCGCTTAACCCGCCAAATTCTCCACGCGCCACCGCACACAAGCTAGAGAGCACTCCGGTAGGTCATCCTTCCGAACCCAACTTCCAACAGAAACGTAGAAGAAGCACCAAAGTGAGCGACGGCTCACCGAGGCCAAAAGACGAAGGAGAAGAGGAGGAGCGAAGGCGGAGAGAGAACGAAACAGAGACCGATAAAGAGTATTACTCGCACCACAAAGCGTCTCCGTTATCAGAGATTGAGTTTGCGGATACTCGGAAGCCGATCACGCAAGCCACAGACGGAACGGCGTATGCGGCGGGAAAAGATGTGATCGGATGGTTACCGGAGCAGCTCGACACAGCGGAGGAGGCTTTAAAGAAAGCTACGATGATATTCAAACGAAACGCAGAACGTGGAGATCCTGAGACGTTTCCTCATTCTAGAATCTTGAGAGAAATGAGAGGCGAGTGGTTCTAAACTAACGAAAGAGACAATAAATGTTTTAAGTGTCTGAATAAAACTTTTGTCATGTTTCTCATAATCTTCTTACACCAAACAAAGAGGTCTTAAGGATTACAAATGTGAATTACTACATAGGAATCTGGATTCATAACAGCATCTGATTAAACTGAATGTTTGAAGTGTCTGAATAAAACTTTTGTCATGTTTCTCATAATCTTCTTACAAGAAACAAAGAGGTCTTTTGTCAAAAAAAACAAACAAAGAGGTCTTAAGCAAATGATTACAAATATGAATTACTACTCAGGAAACTGAACTCATAAAATCTGATTAAACTGAATGTTTAAAGTGTCTGAATAAACTTTTGTCAGTTCTCATTTTTCTCAGAATCATTTAACCGAACATATAAACAAACAAAGAGGTCTTAAGCAAATGATTACTACAAACATGAATTACTCATAGGAACTGTATTAGTAAAATCTGATTACACATATGAATGAAGAAGCAGAGAAAGAAGAATTCTCATGCCTATCAAGGGAACTGAAACTGAGAAAAGTCCTGTCTTCCAGCAGGAGGGTTGATATAAACCCAAAGCATAGAGACAATGATCGACAGCAAACCTGACCACACAAACACAATCGTAGGCACTCTCCCTCTTCTTCCCATCAACCCTTTAGCAAACGGATACAAGTGACACAGCACCCAAAAGCTGAAGAACACTCCTCCAACAAGCTTACTCCACTGCGGAAACGGACTGTACAGAGTCCTCGCAACCCCAACTGCAATAGCAATCATGTTCACCATCATGATCGTCAGTGGAGGAACCATCAGAAAGCTCCATTTCACAAGGTACAGATCCGCAAACTCGTCGTCCCCGTCTTCAGGTGTAGATGACTTGGAAGTCAAGGTGAACGAGATATCAACTCCAGCTATAACCTTGAGAAGACCTTGAAGCACGGCTGCTGGATGTGCGCTTGTTCCACCAATAACCCAAAACTGCTCGTTTCTCCACCATTCATGGAGAGTAACACCTGACCACTTGATCTCAAGGAGTGATAGCATGCAGAGAGTGAGTGTTATCGAGAGGAGAAAGATGAGGAACGTTATGTCGAGTGACTGGACTATGAACTGTCCCGAGAAGAGCGAAACCGCAGGGAGAATGCAGTAGACAATGAGGAAGAGCGATGTGAATGGATACATCCCCACGTTGAAGTAAGCTATTCTCTGCAAGAACTTCATCCTCCTTGTGGCGAATATAGCATTGTTCCTTGAGAAAAAGATCTCTACGGACCCTGTTGCCCATCTCAGAACCTGGTGAAGCCTATCCGTTAGATTGATGGGAGCTGTTCCACGGAAGGCGTCTCGTTTCGTCACGCAGTAGATTGATCTCCATCCTCTGTTGTGCATTCTATACCCCGTGACCACATCTTCAGTTACTGAACCGTAGATCCATCCAACTCTTTTGCCCCACTCGGTTTTATCCTCGTAGAAGCAAGAAATCACACTGATTGCTTCAGCTACAGTAGCTGCATCAAGAGGTTCACGTGGGACAGCAAGTGAACCAGCTGGTCTACTGTTCTTGCCTTTGCCTTGCAAGTCCTGTAAGAGCCTCCCTTGGTATTCAGCAACTGGAATTGAAGCAACGAAAGAGCTTGAGTTACCGAATCTCTTTGGGAGAAGGAGAGACTCGATATCTCCATCATCATTCTCTGCTTCGGTGTTGTATTCTCCATTCATAGCCAATGAAATCTCATCGTCTTTCTTCACCGAAGCTTTTGGTTTCCTTAGAGACAGCTTCACCTTCTTTCTTCCAAGCCAGCCATGATGCTCGGTAGCTCTCGGTGGGCTAAAACCGTAAAGAGCTGTTCTGCGGAAGATGCAGCCAGTTCCAACGTACATTGGACCTTGAAGTCCATCCAAAGCTCTCATACTAACATCAAAGAAGACAGTGTTGTGGTTTGCATAACGATCGTTTGGGTCGATACCTTCAAACCTCTGTGGGAACTGAACGTAGCAGATTCTGTCGCCACCACGATCAAGCATGAAGCACATTCCTTCCCTCAAGGCCATGGAGTTGTAGATGTAGTGGTCACAGTCGAGATTGAGGATGAATGGTCCATTAGACATGATTGCGCTCGTTCTAACTAATGCATTCATGGCTCCTGCTTTCTTGTTGTGATCATAGCCTGGCCGCTTCTCTCTCGATACATAGACTAGCATTGGTAGCCTGATGTCAACTTCTGTTGTGTCAATTAAGTTCTCAGAGTCTGCTTCAGATCCATAAACTGGTTCTGCATTTGGAGGAGCCAACATTGCCTGCAACAACCCCAAGCATAAGTATTGGAACACAATTTTATCACAAACCTTATAGAAACGTTAAACTGTTTAATTATTAGTAGTAGTTACCTGAATGATTCCAGCATGATCTCCACGAGAGTTATCATCTTCTCCAGAGGACCAAGTCCCTGGCCAGTGAGAACCATCAGACATCCAAGTGGCCTTTGCAACTTTAACAGTTTCTTCAGGTTTGCCTCCCATCATCATCTCCATCTGTTTCTTCTTAGCCCTTAGCTCTTCATGCACGTTATAAGCATCAGACCTCCTCCTTATCGCCTCAGGCAATGAATTGATTCTCACTTTAAACTCATCATACTCCCTCTTCACTCTCCTCCTTTCCCTCACAAAATCCAACCTTACTTTGTTCTTGAGAAAGTTACGCTTCTGACCAAAGTAAGCCTCAGGGTTCCTCGGCTCTATATTATGCTTCCTGCAAAACGGCACCCATGTGCTAGCGAAGCTAGCTGTTTGAGCCAAGGCCTCGAACGTTAGCAAAGCTCCTCCATCGTCTGATAAGTAGCAAGCAAGCTTCTCCACAGGGTAATCAACGGCTAGGATGGAGAGGATGGTGTTGGCTGTGACAAGAGGCGGTTCCTTCTCAGGGTCTGCAGTTGAGACAAACACATCGATACCGGGAAGATCAGATCTTCCTTTGGGGTTTCTGAGGTTGGGAGATTCAAAACGTTCTTTAAGAACATCTAAATCGGTTAATCTGTTGACAGGACAGAGCTTCGGAAGCTGGTCTAAAAGCCAAGAAAAGGCAAACCAAAGCTCACAGACCGTTGAACTTCCCCACAACCACATTGCCTCTCGGTTCGGGTGGCGAATCCTCCACGTCAGAAACAAACCAAGAGCGACTAAACGCAACACAATGAGTAATCTGTTTAATCACACACAAGAAAAGAAAAAACAGAACATAAGTAAAACATCCAAGAAACATATAATATAATCAAACCAAACATACTAAATTATATCTTATCTGTTTCATCACACACAACAACACAAAAAACAACATAAGCAAACATCCAAGAAACATATAATCAAACCAAACATACTAAATGATTTTCAACTGTTTCATCACACACAACAACACAAAAACAACATAAGCAAACATCTAAAAAAAACATATAATCAAACCAAACAAGCTACTAAATTAGAAACATTTATTAAATCGATTCCTCGAGCCAAAACTGAGCAAACATGTAAGAAACCAAACTAAATTAGAAACAATTGTTTACCTGTAAGGACTGATAATAGCAGCAGAGACACTGACTTTCCTAGTCAAAGGTCTCTTACTCCTCTCCCCAAACTCCGGCGGCTGTTCATACCCGTTCCCACTATTACCACCCGACCCAATTCCATACCCATCTTTAGGCCAAACCGCGTTCCCATAACCATAAGTCCCTTTAGTCTCAAACAACCACCTCGTATGATCAAAATCCCCCGTCTGATTCTTAAACGACTTCACAACCGAAAGCCTCTTGTCAAGCTTCGAATCCGCCATCTGAGGAAGAGGTTTCGCCTCATCTTCATCATCCTCCTCTTCCTCCTCAGTATCCTGACCATCATCATCGTCGTTGATGTCTTTGTAAGGCTCCTTACACCCAGGACACTTCCCACCACCACTCGCGATGCAATCAAAGTAACAATCTCTACAGATTCTGAAACCACACTCACACCTCCCGTGAACAACCTTCTCATCACAACCTCTCAACCAACAGACCTGACCTGATTTCTTCCCCGAGTCAGCTTTCTCCATAGAACAGTCAATCACATGTCCACGTGTCACCGATTTAAATCCCCCCGTGAATATCGTCCCAGAGAGGAAACTTCTGTTCTTAGAGTTTCCTTTCAACATCTCTTCCTCTTCTTCTTCATTACTCTCTTGAGAAGCGAAGACGGTCTGGTGATCCGGCGTCGGGGGGATGTGAACGGTGTAGCTCACGACGCAGTCGGAGTTCGTCTCAGCCGTTAGATCTTCAACCGACATGGAGCAGTACCTTCCTGCGCCGCTGGATCTCCGGTTCCCGCCGCTGAGGGAGCTGCGGCGGGGTCCTCTTGAGCTGAGAGGAGAGTTTTGGTTGTTGGAGACGGAGGCGCGTGGGACGGGACTCGTTAAGCCGAGGCTTCTGTCGCCGGAGCCTTTGCATGGCGTCACGGTTATAGTCACCGGAGAAGAAGAGCCAGCTGGTGATTTCATTGTTGTCGGCTCACAAATGGCTGTGAACCTTTGGATTATGAGAAGATGAAAAAAATCAACGATCCAGATCTAGAGAAGAAGAAGGTGGTGAAGCTAGTTGGGAGCAGAGCATTTTAGTTTCAAAATCTAGAGAGAGGGAGAAGGATTTAAAGAAGGAAGAGAGTTGCTATAAACGGTCGAGATATCTGATCCGTTGGTTTTCTTCACGTCCTCACTGTGAGATCGGACGGTTGTTATCTGTTCTAAACGGTAATTTTGAAAGATCGTGTGGGCCCAGGGATATCTAGAAAGTCAAATAAACGGAAGAAAAGAAAAAAGTGTTTTCTTTCGCTCTTTTTTTGTGTAACGGTCAAATAATTTAATTTGGAGCCGAATCACATTAGTATATGCTTTTTTCATCCCATGTGGTTTCATAATTTTGAACTCATTGGTTCGGTTTTTGTATAGTATTATGATGTATGCTAATCGAGTAGATAATCATTTCTTGAAATACAATGGTAATTTAATGTATAATAACTCATACTTGTCTGCTTGTACATCCTAAAATAGTTAAAATTTGATTTCTTGAATGTGAATCGAGAACTAGATATGTAATAATCTTTATGTTATCATGGAAAGTAACACTGATCATTAAATCACCTAGGTTTCATCTTTGATACTCCCATTGCTTCTTAACCCAGTTTCTCAAAATTTCTCTGACAAGTGGACTTTTATATCTAGGTCTTCCTAAACAAAAGCCCAGTTTAAATAATTTTCAAACCAGACATTGTTTGGTAATTACTTGGAGAGCAATGCAATAATATCCTTGCAATTTATAAGACCGAAGATGCTAAAGACAAAAATGCCCCTGGTCTACCACGCGGGTTGAAAAGTCCACAAAAGGGTCGATGTAAGGGTATTTAAATAATTTCGTCCCCGAATCCTTGTCAATTAAGTCTAGCTCCATTAAAAAAGGAAAGGTTGGAAGCATTATTTTAATTAAATTGTTTAGCATTTTCTTGCTCACAACAAGTCATCAAAGCTTCTAAAGGCTGACATGTGCAAGTAAACCACACGACGACGAGGTCTACTTTACCTAATCAAAAGTTTTGTCCGAGAGACTATTTAAAGGAACTCTAGGTTTCTGTCGAGATTCAGAATTAAGATGGATGACGATATGTGGGCAGTCTCCTCCTCTGGTTCTTCGAGAAGCCTTCGATCAGCAACCACTGCTAAGTACCAATCTGGTTATTATCCTAATCCCCTCAATCCCTATTTTAATTTCTAGGGTCAAAGATTTTTTTTTTTTTTGTAGGGTTTATATATTTTTGTGTTTTTAAGAAAATGGTAGCTTTACGTTTTTGCTTTAGATGAAAAAGACTCTTGTTTGCTTCTCAATTTCAGGTACTTATCTGGATTCGGGAGATTTTGAAGAAGAAGAGGATGATGATGTTGAAGTGGATTACGCATGTCCGTCTGCTCGGATGATTATGATTTAGTCGAGTTGTGTCACCATATCGATGAAGAACATCATCTTGAAGCTACCCATGGGGTATGTGTAATTCACATCTTATCTCCAAATTATTTACAATTTGACAATGAAGCTTCATATTAAGTAGTTTAAGTTTTGATTAGAGCTTTACATGGTTGCTTTAGAGGATGAGAAACAGGGTTCCTCAGTCTTCTAGTTGAGTAGCAGTGTTTAGATTGATGCTTTTGCAATCTTATTGCAACTGTGAATAGCCCTTGATCTTTTAGTACTCTTTGAGTTGGCATTGATCAGTTAAGCTCGGAACACTTGAGTTAATGTTTTGATCGGTTAGGCTTGTATGATGGAACATTTGAGTTGAAGTTTTGATTGGTTAGAAAGATGAATGCTTAGTTGTATGAATAATTTTCTGGTTTTGTGACCTGTTTTATGCTAACACTTTACCTTTTGTTTTTAGCTATTTAGGTATGTCCAGTTTGTAGCAAAAGAGTGAAGATGCATATGGTGGATCATATAACCACACACTATAGAGATGTCATGAAGATATCCTTTTTTTTTTCCAAGAATGTTTCTTTAAGCTAATTTGCTAGTCTCTATAGTGATTAATGAATGTGATTTTCATTTGAGTGTCCTTGACTGAAATTTTACAGTGGGCAGAAGCAGACTTACGTGGCAGATCCATATTCATTGGATAATTATCTTCAAGATGATTTGTCGCCATCTATGGATCATCATCATACTTCTAAAACCGATCAGTTCTTATCTTTCCTCAACAATTCTCCATTGCCAAATCAAACCAAGCCTGTGCAGGAGGTTGATTCCAGTGTGGATGACAAGACTTTGATTGAGCATTCTTCGACAGGAAAAGGCAGGAAGCTGTCAACGCCTTTGTCGGATAGTGAACAACTGGAGAAGGCAAAGAAGTGTGAGTTTGTACAGGGACTATTGTCATCAGCCATTTTTTATGATGGATGTGACTTCTTCTGAGAAATAAAGATGCCACGGCTGGGATGGCAAAAGGCAGAGGTCATTGGCATTGTTGTAATTTTATTCAGTTCTATTTATTGTATATGTATCTTTTTTATTAGACACAATAGTAGAGTTAGTCTCATAATATAAGCCTCATGCGTTCAGTTAACAAGAATCTTTCACTGTACAGCTCTTGTCTTCACAATGCTATTGACTCAAGATGGTAGTTAAACGTATAAGCGGCAAATAAGTAAAAAGCATCAAGCCCGTCTAGCTCAGTTGGTAGAGCGCAAGGCTCTTAACCTTGTGGTCGTGGGTTCGAGCCCCACGGTGGGCGTTTGTACTTTTTGGCTTCTTCTTGATGGAACTTGAAAAAACAATTCATTGCAGTTCGGCTGTTTCAAAACGCATATGAACCAGTTTCTTTTGATAAAGGATTTCAACGAAGTTATAAACTTACCGGTTCCCTTTTTATGGCTCTCACTAAAAGCCTCCACAATTTTGTTAATACAGCGGTCGTTAGAATCCTCTTAGTTTTCAATCAGTTTATCGTCTCGAATCATGGACTGAAAAGACTTTATATAATGTTCTGCGAGTTCCATCCCATAATCAAAATAAAAATTAAACATTTCCACCAATCGGCTTAATTTTAAGGATAGTAGGATTCAGCATGTTAAATTGATGCAAGTGAGGGTTGACTAAATTTAGTGGACAGCGAAAAGCATTAAGAAACCAAAACAAAGTTTTGAGAAGTACGTAAACTGATAAACTAAAAATCTGAAAGCAAGACAATTATGTTTTTCCGAGCAAAGAAAGTATTTCAACAAAACCAACTTCATAAAACATTCAAAAAACTTCTTCAAGTAAAGTAAGTGAACTGGTCTATATAGCTTGATGACTATATCCTCTTCACTTCTTTGGTACCCTACACAATCAAAGACCCATAACTAAATTAATACATGTTTGAAACATTTTTCAAAACAAACGTCAATTTTATATACAAGTTGAGATAACACTTACTCTGCGGTTTGAGCAGTAGTAGCAGGAGCAGCTGCAGCTGGTGGTGCTTTTGCAGGCTCAACATCTCCTCCAGGACCCTACATCAAAAACAAATCACAAACCAAGAGGTATAAGAACACTGTAAACAAACTCAAAGAAATGTCATTAATATTGTAATATGAAATTAAGTTATACCTTAGCAAGACGCTCTTCTCTCCTAGCATGTTTCCTCTCACGGCTTGCCTTGTTCTTAGCCCTCTTAGCCTCAAACTGATCAGATAAAGTCTTCTCTCTGGCCTTCTCAGCCTTGGACTTGTGGATACTCTCCATCAACACACGCTTGTTCTTGAAGACATTACCCTTAACACGCATGTACATGTCATGGTACATGTGTTTGTCAATCTTCTTAGACTCTCTGTACTTCTTCAGGAGACGTCTGAGCACACGCATCCTACGCATCCAAAGCACCTTAGTTGGTAGCCTAGCTTCACGGGTACCCTTCCTCTTACCTGTTTAACCACACACCCAGGTCAGAAACTAATCATCATTCTAAAATGTTAAGACACAAGCCAAATGGGGGTTTAGGGGTACAAGTGCATACCATAACCAGAGTGACGACCCTTCATCTTGGCGATCTTCATACGGCGAGCCTTGAGCGAGAGTGGATCTTGGTTGGCTTCCTGATGATGAAACCATCCTTCACCAGCTTCCTGATGTTTTGTCCTAATCATTTCCAAAATAAAAAAAACAATTAAAATCAAAGTTAGTAATCAGATTTACACATGAACAGACCTTAACCTTCAATACTCACAATACTAATACATAACTCTTTAGTTTCACAAGACATAAACCATTTCCACCACTCTAAAAAAAATAATTAGTTACAAAACCAAACAGCTGTAATAACTAGGAACGGTAAAAGGAGACAGTGATTCAACATAGACAACGGATAAAACTACAAAACCTAAGTAACTAATATGTTCTCCTACTACTATCATCACAGACAAAAACACCTAACAAAATGAACATAAGAGAGAAAAAGCAAAACATACGGGAATTAGCCATGGAGATGTCGGAGGTTTCATTTGGATCGAGCCAAACTTTACCCTTCCCGCACTTCATCACCGATGCGGCGAGCCGCTTCTGGAGCTTCAGAGCCACCATTTTTGCTTTCTCCCCTTTGGTTGTGGCGGAGAACGGAAGAGAAAAGTTTGTATATATAGCAGTTCTCTAGGGTTTCTCCTCTTCGAGACTATCCTTTGGGATTTTAGTTAATTAAACAGGCTTTTCTTAAAAGCCCATTATGAGCCTCATAAACAATATACGTATTTGTGTTATCTTCTTTTGGGTTAGTCCCGTTTATTAAGGGTTGTTTTCATTGAAATATTCACACGTACCTTTAAGTCGTCAAAATATATCCATAAGTATGCAATTATGCAAATGTTTATGTTTCTATAAGGTGAACTTTTATTTAGTTAATTTTAGTTCATTGAGATTGGTTGTCTTTCGATTGTACAAACTGAGAAGAAAAGCTATTTGGCTATTATTTTCTAGATGATGAGCATTGGTAATAGCTTGTATGATCTGCTAAAACTGCATAGTTTAAAATTTAGGAGCAGATTAAAATTAAATGACTTGTTTTTGGTACCAGTCACCACTTCTTTGTATCAGAAACAAATGGAAACAAGAGCTGCTTAACATAAAGGATGTCAAACTGAATTTAAAACATTTACAAGTTATCAATCGAATGTTAGAGGGTGGATAATTTTTTTTTTTTTTTAACACAGATTTCCAGTGATATGAATGGTGTAAAATGAAAAGAACCGAACAAAGATAATTGGGGAAGTTTCTCGAGATGGAGACATCGATAATCTCATTAGCGTGACATTTGTATACGCTTGTAGGTTAAGGTAAAGTTAAGAAACACTGTGATTCAGGCTGGAAATTGTTTTTTTTACTTGTTTCTTTTGATCGGTGCTTTTAAATAGAGAAAGTTTTTTTATATACCCAAAATGGATTTACACACAACTTGCAGACCAAATTTCTAACCAGAACAACCAGCAGAAGGGTAGGGTCTATTTATTATACATTACCCAAAATCAGGAGGAAAAAGTAAAAAAAGAAAAACAAGTTAGGAAATACAACATTATCAAAAGCTTAGATATTCCAATGATTATTTCATGCTGATAAATTTTCCAAACTAATCCACAAACAAAACAAATGTTTGTGGAAGCTTTTGATTCTTTTCTTTCTTTATTATATTATTTAGACCAAAAGCTTATTTTGGACAGAGAGGGAAGTTGATCCTTCCACCAGAGATAAAATTGACGTGGTCACAAAGAGATCCGATCAAACCACCTGACGAGGATTGATGTCCTCCTCTGTTGCCTACGAAGTTTAAGTTCACATCAACAACGTTGACTCCTTTGCACGGTATGGATTTGCTGCACATGAACTGAACAAAGTCTTTTGTAATTGTTGTTCCTCTTATGTTCTTGAACAACACCTCGTTTATGGCAACTCTTGAATCCTACAAACACACAAAATAAATATATTTATATAGAATTTGTAGGCTGCTGATGGTCAAGATCCTAATATCAGTTTTGGTTTTAAAAGATTTTCTCCCGTGTATATGGATACTTACCCCGCCTCTTGAACCATAGTTTTGGTCAATGATGATTGGGTTCTTGACGTTTTCCATGATAATATTTTCAAAATGAATGTGCTCAGCCTTGCTTGGAGACGAACCACCCCAACTCTTGATTCTAAGACCATTGTCGGTATTCTTCATTGTGCAGTTCTTAAAGTTAATGTCGCTAACGTCCTCCTCATTGGGGTACTTACCAAGACTACCGACACTTAGGCCGTGTCCGGGACCACAAGTCACGCGTTCAACGTTTACACCGTTGCAACCACGTCCGACTGAAACACAATCGTCTCCGGTTGCTATGAAACTGTCGGTGATCCTAACGTTGTCAGCATTGCTCAAATGGATACCATCGGTGTTGGGACTCTCAGCAGGGGCGATAAGCTTAATGTGGTGGATGTTGACATTCACGGTTTTCACCAAGAACATGTGGAAGGCCTTTGCGTTCACCGAGCTAATTCCGCTGATTTCAAGGTTTACTATGTTTCTGAATTTCAGAGACTGCATGCATGCATGTGTACATGTGATTAGTACACAATATAAATATTTAGCTGATATATGTGTATATTAACTTAATCAATACCGTTGGGGGAAGATTGCATTTAGCCTTTTTGCCACAACCATCAGCTGCCCATACGGCTTCACCTCTGCCGTGGAATGTGCCAGGTCCGGTAAGGAGAACATTGTCAACACGTTCGAATAAGAACCATTCAGGGGTTGCGAATCCGCTTGTTGTAGCAGTGATCGTGCCGCGAACCTCGACAGTCACTTTGCTCCTGCATGGACCGGCGAAAATAACTGGACCAGCCAAGAAATTTCCTCTAGGGACAAGTAGCGTTGCTGGCACAGGACTTGAACACACTTGGATCCATGTTTTCAAAAACGCCTGCATATTTGCATGTCTATGTTAGAAAAGTTCCAAATACACAAATACTAATAATTACAAAAGAATCTCAGAAATCATATAACCTTGAAAGTATTGGTGCGACCATCTCCCACTGCTCCAAACTTAGTTATATCAAAGACGGGGTTGCCGGCAAGTTTGCGACCCTCTTCAAGATATTCACCATTGGCTACGCAAGAACCAAATACCATGGCCATTATAATTAATGAACCTATACTAGTTTTATTAGCGGCCAACATTTTCTTGCGTTAGCCGTGGTGATAATATCTTTTATTTATTTTTGGTTTTTTGTACTTTTAAACAAGTATACACAAATTTAAAAGTGATTTGATCATAGGAGGATTCATGATGTTTTATAGCTTAGTGGGTATGCTATTTTTGGATTCAAGTCTATTTTTAAGATAATTGTTTTAGGGGAATACCAGAGTGTGTGGTTTCATCTTCTTTTGCGGATGCTTGACCACCCAATGTTAGGTAATAACAATCTAATTTCACGGTAAGTTTGCATATGAGAAAAATTGGATCAACTCCCTTCTAATGTTAAATCTGTTATCAACAGAAAGAAAAAAAATAACTTAGATTCTACCATTGAGGCTCCTACGCTAGCTTTCAAAACTACGGCTGCATCAAAACTAAATATGTTGATTGTTGATAAAGTGGTTGGAAATGATCAGCAAAAACCAGTTAACTACCAATCTAAGATTGCAAACAATTACTAGCATATGATAGGTATTTCACATAAATGACTGAAATCATGTTTTCTAACTTGGTAAATTCATCATTTCAGCCCGTGAAGTTTTCTATTATTCACCATTACATCATGTTTGCATTATATGGTCTTAGAGAAAAGTCATGGTTGGCAGTACAAAGAAAATTCAGAGGATTATGAATCAACAGATTGGTATATCTATTTATTATCAGCGTAAGAACAACATTATCCGCAAAAGCTTTGAGGAATTCTAATAACATGATTATATATTATTTTTTGGAATCTGTTGAAAATTAACAAAGCGGCATCTTTACTTTACTATCTCAATCGGTTCTCAAGAAGTTCAGTTTTCAGAACTTTTACTCTTTCTCTCACATGTTATTATGCTTTTTTTTTTCTCTTGAATTCTTATAACTCCCAACTACAAATTTACATTGGAGAGGCTCTTACTTAAGTATTAAAATATGAATGTGTTAAAACTCAGCATTAACCACAGTAACTTTTGAGTGCTGATTTACTTTCTGGTGGCATTCATTAGAGAGCTATTAACCACCCCAAATATTTTAAAGACTCTGGAATAAATAGTCTGTACTTAAAAAATGCGACTAGATATTAATGTTTTGCAAATCTAGGTCACAGCCGGTTGTTTTCAGACCGTTCTGCATTGAGATGGTTTTCATGGCAATTAATTTTAATTTATTAATATATGAGACAAAAACTATGATAATTTAAAAGAACTAATTCTAACACACGGTTAATTACTTGCTGGTGGTTGCATAATCTATACATCCAGAACTGACTAATCATAATTGTAGATGCTTATTGTGGAGTTGATCGAATCTCAACGGCTAGAATCACTAATTCTTTGTGGGCGTTAACAGATATAGGAAGAACTCGACGTAGATCGCTTCATTTGCATCAGTCGATTATTAAGCAGACTTAAATTACAATTACATCAGACTGTGGAAATGTTAATGCAAACATCTCGTCATCGATTAGTAACTTGTTAAAAAAAAAAAAAAATCAAAGTGATATTAAGTTAATTAAATTTATAATGTGCTACATAGTCTATATTAAACAAAAACTATATGTAAGTGATTTATATATGTTTGTAGAAATGAAAACAATTCCGAACAGCTATTCCGAAATCGCAATGCTCCGATCGGGAGAAACGAGAACGAACTACTTACTAATACAAAATCAATTATCGAAATGCATACTCCTACAACTAAATTTTGAAGGTTATATATTCAATATTGTGAACGAACACATGGTTCTGCATTAACAGCTAAGCAAATCTGAATCTGCTGACAAGAGTATCCGATGATTATTGTATAATCCTCAAACAACCGACGCGTTTTTAAGACTCCCTAACGAGTTGACTTAGAATATAGTCACATTTCAATATTATAAAATTCATAGGCAAGATTGATATGAAAGCAAGAACAGTAAACTTTATGGTAACATATAAAATGGACCCACTTCATCCCCCTTCATCATCAACACACTCTATATAAACCACTAAACTTAATCTTTTTATTCACATTAGACAAAGAACTAAAAAAATCTCAGTAACAATGGAATCTCCATTGCTCTTTCTCATAACACTATTATGCTCTCTTCAGTCACTCTTTGTTGCTTCTCACAACCTATCAAAGTCTTCAACCATCTGCAAAACGACGCCGGATCCAAAATACTGCAAAACTGTTTTCCCACACAGCCAAGGCAACGTTCAGCAATACGGCCGCTTCTCAATCCGCAAATCGCTATCTCAATCGCGGAAATTCATCCGCACAATCGATAAACATCTAAAACGCAACGCTCATGCATCTCCACCCGCCGTTACTAGAGCACTCCAAGACTGCCGTTTCTTAGCCGGTCTAACCATGGACTATCTCCTAACGTCGTTTGAAACCGTTAACGAAACGTCTTCCTTCAAAACGTTATCATTTCCAAAGACCGAAGATGTCCAAACGCTTCTCTCCGCGGCGTTAACTAACGAGCAGACGTGTCTCGAGGGACTCACCACCGCCGCTTCCGCTTCCTCCACGTGGACAGTACGCAACGGCGTCGCTTTGCCTCTAGTCAACGACACGAAGCTCTTCAGCGTCTCACTCGCTCTCTTCACTAAAGGATGGGTCCCAAAAAAGAAGAAACGGGCAGCCGGGTTTGCTTGGGCCCACCCGAGATCCGGAACATCCACTCACACCAAACCGTTCCGTCTGTTCAAAAACGGAGCTCTGCCGTTAAAAATGACGGAAAAAACCAAAGCCGTTTACGAATCTCTCAGCAGGAGAAAACTCACTGGCGGTGCCGGTGACGGAGACGACGGAAGCATGGTTTTGATAAGCGACATCGTCACCGTGATTCAAGACGGAACAGGGAACTTTACTAACATCACTGACGCCGTCGCGGCTGCTCCGAATAACACCGACGGAAGCGGAGGGTTCTTCTTGATTTACGTGACGGCGGGGGTGTACGAAGAGTACGTGTCGATCTTAAAGAACAAAAGGTACGTGATGATGATCGGCGATGGGATAAATCAGACGGTGGTCACGGGGAATAGAAGCGTCGTTGATGGTTGGACAACTTTTAACTCCGCCACCTTTGGTACGTCAGACATCACATGTTATTAGTAATAATGTCTCGAGATCTTAAAGTTATTATTCCCATAATATTTAATGCATCGAGTTACGTCGATAACTCGCTTTAATTATTGCATTTTCAACTATAGGTCAAAAAAAGATAAATTGAAAGTGGTGAATAGGAGACAAGTTGCATTAATAACACAGAGTGTGTACTAACTAACAGCCATTACATTTTATTTTAGATTTACCAGTGGTGAGATGCTGCATACGTAAAAATTTTGCACCGATTGATAACAATGTTGCACGTGATTTTTTTTCAGCTGTGACAGCACCGAACTTTGTTGCGGTGAACATAACGTTCCGGAACACAGCTGGACCGGAAAAGCACCAGGCGGTTGCGGTACGGAGCGGTGCAGATTTTTCAATCTTCTATAGTTGTAGTTTCGAGGCCTATCAAGATACGCTCTACACGCATTCTCTAAGACAGTTTTATAGAGAATGCGATGTCTACGGAACGGTGGATTTTATATTTGGAAACGCGGCGGTTGTGTTTCAGAATTGCAATCTATATCCGAGAAAACCGATGCCTAACCAGTTCAACGCAATCACTGCACAAGGCCGGTCTGATCCGAACCAGAATACTGGTACGTCGATCCAAAACTGTACGATTAAACCAGCGGATGATCTTGTTCTTAGTAATTATACGGTTGAAACGTATTTGGGTCGACCGTGGAAGAATTATTCACGGACGGTTATCATGCAATCGTACATTGATGGTTTTGTCGAACCGGTTGGGTGGAGAGAATGGAACGGCGATTTCGCATTGAGTACGTTATATTACGCTGAGTATAACAATACCGGACCTGGTTCAAACACTACAAACCGAGTTACATGGCCCGGTTATCACGTGATTAATTCAACTGATGCAGCTAATTTCACAGTCACTGGTTTATTTGTCGAAGATGATTGGATTTGGAAGACCGGAGTGCCTTACACCAGCGGTTTGATTTCATAACATATAATGTAATTTTTGTTATTTGCTTTTAGTTATTTATTTTCTTTAATTATTTAATTTGAAGAAAGAAACTGTATTCTTTGTGTTGCAACTTTAACAAACCGAAAATCAAGCTCAACGCCAAAGAAATGTAGAGCCTTATAATGTAATTGTAAACAATATGCTAAAAATAAAATTATTTAACATCAAATCTCGACTTATAAATAAAGCACAGAGACATCCCAAAACCAACTTATAAAGAGATTAAAGATCACGACTTACGACAAAACGAGACAGGAATCCAAGAGAGCACACGACGTTAATTAGAAACAATGTCCATATTCGTCCTATCACTCTTCGTTTTTGCCACTTCTTTCTACGCTTCCTGCACAAACCTAACAGCTTACGATGTAGTCCAAAAATACAAGTTACCAAGAGGAATATTACCAGAAGGTGTCATCGACTACAAGCTAAACAACAAAACGGGATTCTTCAAAGTCTACTTCAACAACACGTGTCGGTTCCCCATCGAGGAATACAAGGTAAAGTTCCAACCTATCGTCTCGGGCTTCATAAAAAACGGACGGATCAGTAGGCTGATGGGTGTAAGCGTCAAAGTGCTTTACTTCTGGCTCAGCATCGGGGAGGTGACTAGTGATGGCCAGGAACTCGAACTCTCTGTTGGTGCTGCTTCGGAAGAATTCTCGCTGCATCGTTTCGCCACGAGTCCACAGTGTGGTTGTGGGTTTTATTGTCGTGAGCTCACATTTTCCTCTTGAACCTCCAAAGTTGTTATGAATAAAATGAAATAAACAAATACTTTACCTATTAGCTTCATAAATTGTAGTATTCATATACTAGCTATAATTTGAGTGGGCTGTGATATACTATGGAGTCTGGACTGGTTATGCCTGAATAAATTGTAGTATGAATATTGAGTAACTAACATATATTATTTTTACTGCAATAAAATATGTGTTTACACAATACCCGAATTATGTTTTTATTAAAACATGATTTTTTTGTTGTTTTTCAGTATGTTTATAGTTCTGTGACATCATTTTAACCACTTTCATAAGTTCATAACTATCATAACGTCTAGCATTACCTGGACAAAAACATAACTAGAATCGATCTAAAAATTCTCAATCTGAATTTTTTTAAATATCTAAATAGATTCAAAATTTATCTATGAAAAATATAATCTAGAACACAAAAATTGATTCGAATAAACCTAGACGTAAACAGAACTGATCAGATAAGAAGCGATTTATACTCAATCTAAAAATATAGATGTTCAAGACTATAACTCCTTATATTTTGTTTTCTATATTTTAATTTACTATTTGTAATGTTATTTTTTGTTTAGAATGTTCATTTTTTGTTGGTAACGTTTTTAATTAATTTGACATGTTATATGTCAGATATATCCAAACCAAACAAATTTTGCTAAGATTTTGAAGAGATTCAGATATATCCAAACCGAACTCTTTTTCTATGTATTTTAGTTATTTAATTTGAACCGATCTGGATCTGAACCAAAAAGAATTCACATGGGCCAGCTTTTAAACTCTGGTCACGTCTTTCACTTCAAAACCTCTGTTTTTTTCTTCCTTCCGCAAAAAAATATCCAAACGGGATAAACCCAAATCCCAAATTCACAATCAGCGTGTTCAATCTGATTCCTAGAGATTCAGATAAGGTTTCGTCAGATCGAAACACCCATGTCTCTGTTCCCGATTTTAACCGCCTCCTTTCTCTTCCTCTTCTCCCTCACTCCGCCGTCCACCACCGCCTCTACATCCAACGATTCGCCGACAGCATACACTCTCCTCCAAAGCTACAACTTCCCCGTCGGAATCCTCCCCAAAGGAGTCTTATCATACGATCTCGACAAATCCACAGGGAGATTCCACGCGTATTTCGACAAGTCGTGCACCTTCTCTCTCCAAGGCTCTTACCAATTGGATTACAAATCGACTATCTCCGGCGTCATATCGGAGAACAAGATCACGAGGTTGACCGGTGTGAAGGTGAGAGTTCTCTTCTTGTGGCTTAACATCGTGGAGGTTATTAGGAATGGGGACGAGCTTGAGTTCTCCGTTGGGATTACGTCGGCGAATTTTGGGATTGAGGAGTTTTATGAGTCGCCTCAGTGTGGATGCGGGTTTGATTGCAATGGATTGAGATTGGAGAGTGAGAGTTTGGGAAGAAACTCTTTTGTCTCTTCGGTTTGAAGGTGTTTTTTTTTTTTTTGTTCATTTGTAATTAATTTATGTGAAAGGAGGGGACTTTTCTTACAGAACATTGAACTCTCTTGTTCTTGTTTCATTTATTATGTTTTGTTTCAATAATTGCTTTTGGATTAATCAACCAAATGTATTGTATTTCCAAGCAATAAAATGATGGATATACAGTGGGAAATTTGATTTTCTTTTTTGGTTGATCAATGGTTTTGAAATGTTGCATTCTATTCATATGAATGTCCATGAAAAGTGTTAGATCCTTCCTTTACTTGTTTTGATTTATTCTGAGCTTCTTTAGTGTAAGATCAGGTGTAGATGTTTAGGATGGACTGTAAATATAGACCTTTGGGCTTTGGGTAGACTTCGGGTAAGTGAAAACAACAGTTTGATAGAGTATCTCTGGTTTAATATGAATCAAATTGTTTTTTCTAGACATCAATGGGGGTTCTTGACCTGTGTTTGTTTGTGGTTCAGATTCATGAGCTCTTCCAAAATGAGTAATGAATGGTTTAAGCTTCTTTCCCACCGACATGATCGTATCTTCTTCATCAAAGACTTTGATGTGGATAATTTCCTCAGTCAAAGGTCTCAGGAATCTGAAAACAGTAACTTGAAAATGAAGCTGAGATATATAGTCCTTTTCTGTAATTTATTGGTGGCATGATATTTCATCAATAAGAAAATTCTGATTCGTTGAATATAAGTATGGGATATTCAGCTGATCTCAGTTGAACTTGGATCTTTATTCGGGTTGAGAACCGGTGTAAAGTTTTGATTAACATTTTGACTTTGACCCATATGCACAAACCCGGTTTGCCAATTTTTACCAGACAAATCTATTCCTCCAAGTATATTTAGTATTGAGGATTCTTCCGACTTTTGAAATTTTCATATATTTATCTTTCTCGTATAACTAATAATTAAAATCTGGATTGTGATGGAAACCTGATATTTTTCTTTTCTTGTTAGCCTAAGAAACGCCACTTGGTTGCGATTGCGAGGTTACAAACTGTCTTTACGTCGTTTTTTCACAAATTGGCCTTTGGGATTTAGTATGAGACACTTCCTCTCAACCATAAAACACGCGGAAGTTATGTGGTCTTCTTCACTATTCAAAAGTAATTATATGAGGCTCACAAGTTAGAGCTTTCTCCTCTTCTTATTTCTCAATTGCATTTAACTTCACTTATTCCTATGATCACCATTTCTCCTAATGCAACATGCCTTGCCAGGTGGTTGAATCCTCCATCACTTTGAATTCGTTAATGTTAAAATATCTAAAATATGACATTTTCTTGATATTATTCCATTTGGTTTTAATAACAACAAGATGGTCCCAGCCTGATACGGAGAGAATAAGCAGAATCTCTGTGGTAGTTAAATCTTGGGCTTCAAGAAATCGTGCTAGCCATATTATTAGCGATCTTGCGAAAATTAAGCTAACCATATATACTTCATCATCATCTGTAAGGACTAAGGACCCTTTTTTATTGTTAACTAAATAGTTACAACTTACGTGTCAAGCATTAGTTAGAAACGATCTAATTATACGTTTATGATTTTCCAATTTTTGTTTTACCAACCACATGATTTTAGAGAGTTATTTAAATCCCTTTTTGCTATTCAGACAACTTATGTTAGATATTCATGTAACGTTTTTAGCATAGTAGAAAAACTTCATATATGGAACGCAATGATAATTTATTAAGATTGGATCAAACGATCACTACAAAACTCGCAACAGAATAAGATTGGGTTCACCACAAAGGATCATGACCCGTTTTCTTTACTTCTCTACCCATAAAACATAGGGTTAAAGAACCTTAACATTAAGAAGAGTTTTTTTTTGTTGAAAAGTAATTATTGCTTGTTGTTCAAGAGAACAGCTCGTAGCTCCGCCGGATCAATCTCTTCAGAAACAGTTGCGGGTCTGTAGTAACCGGTTTTAGGGTCTGGAATCCACGGCGCCTTCTCGATAGACTCTTCCCCAACATTCTTCTTCATCACCGAGGCAGAAGCGGTTGTTCCACCGCTCGTAACGCTCCCATGCAACGCCGTGTCCGCTGCAACGGCGAACCCTCGTCTATAACAAACCCACAACAAAACGTTACCATTTAGTAAAAGCGACGAAAAAGAGTCATACATACGTTTTGCAGAGTCTGTTACCTGGAGATGGCGTTGGAGAACTCTTCGGCGACGAAGACGGAGAAGATCTTAGCGGTAGAGAGAGAGCGAGCCATTGTGAGATGAGAAACTTGTTCTTAGCAAGAGCTCTTTCTCTTCTCTCTCTCGTTGCTTGAGTTGCAAATTGCTCTTTGGGATGAGAAGAAAGGAAGGAGGGGAGAAGGGTTTATATAGAGGAAGGAGAGACTTACGGCTGCGTCAATCTAGGCTTTTCACCCTTTTTGTTATTTTTCTGTTTTTTTTTAATATACAGTAACCGAGGTTTTAGGGTTTTTAAAGATGATAAAATGACTAGAAATATACCTAAAATTTTTTTTATCACAACTATAGACCTTAACAATTAAAATGACTAAAATAGTACTTAAATATTTTATTAAACATATATTTATACCCTTAGTTTAACTAATACTAGATTTCTTTTGTTTAAAGTTAAAGAGTGGGGTTTTGGGGATATGATTTCAAGTTTTAAAAAATTAAAAAAACTTAAAAATTTTAAAATAAAAAGTGCTATTTTGATTATTTTAATTTTTGAGATCTAATTTTGTAATAAAAACTTAAAAAAAGACTATTTGAGAGAATTATTTAATCTGTATTAACTAATAATTTGTTTTTAAAACAGTTCTGCTGTATCTGTTTGAGAAAACGGCTTTTTGTTATAAAATCTCAAAATTTAAAATTTAAAGTAAAAAACCGAATTTTTACAGTAAAGATGATAATTTTTTTTTTTTTATCTGTGCACTTAACAAAGGATATATATCGTTAATGTATTTTGGTTAAGATAAGTATTTGTTTAGATATTTTTGCCTAAATAGAGACGTCAAATCAAAATTTTCGTCGGACCAACCAGGAAGAAGAAAAATATCCGGTTCAAAACGAGTGGTTATCAAATGTTGGCGTATCAGAGGTGTAAAATGAAACTTTAGTCATTCTTTTGTTAAATTAAACCATTAAACAAACCATCCAAAAGTAAACATAAATCTCTGACAAATGTATAAAAAAAAAGAAATGAAGAAGAGCGGTGTGCCTTAATCTTCATCCTCACCAGCTGCATCGTCTTCAATGTTGAAGTACCTAAGCTCATACACGTTCCTGTCTTTGTTCGATGCAATCACGCGGAGCCAATCACGGACATTGTACTTCTTCAGATACTTCTTCGTCAGATACTTCAAGTACCTAATTTTAAAATAAAAAAACGTAATTGATTAAGATGCACGCCATAGAGAAATGAATGCTTCAGGGACAAGTTAGGGTTTTATGGTATTATAAAATTTACTAATGTGACTCTGACACTGTACAAAACTAATAATACTTCAACTAAAGAGCAAATAATTAACAATTCATAATTGGTTTGGTGATGTTACCGTTTGGAGAAGGTGGAATCAGCGGTGACGGTGATCTTTCCTTTGGAGGTTGCAATGGAAACGGCGTCGCCGAGAGCTCCGGGTTTGCCTCCGACCTTGATTCGTTCCTGAAGAAACTTCTCAAGCGTGGCGATCTCCATGATCTTGTCATCGACTGGTTTAGAGCAGTCAATAACGAACGCTACTCCTTTCTTCTTGGTACTCGACTTCACCGCCGCTCCTCGAGCCATCTCTCTATACAGATTCTAACACTAAGCTTAACCGCTGAACAATTTGAGTGAAAGAAAGGTTTAGAGACAGAATATAAACGGCGTTCCTAGGGTTTTCAAGTTAGTGTAGAGATTTTAAACAGTTAAGACCCAATGGGCTTTAGGTCCATTTAGATTATTATCTTGGGTTAGTTCTTTTGGTTTACTAATTAAGTGTGTGGTGTTTGTTCAGAACAAGCCACATGTTAATAGTTCACACATGTGTGTATAAGAAAGTAAAAGATAACTACAGTATTAGGACTGTTGAAAGCCACAAATATGTCTCATCTTTGCGTCATTATTAAACTTGTCGAACGTTATGGACCGAGAGTATAGAAGAAACAAACAAAGACGATGTCGTGTTGCAACCAAACTTTTCCACTGGATCAAAAACAAAAAAGGAAATAGCATGTGTAGTACTCTGTCTTTGCTTTGCCAAACTTTCTGCTACGTTTTAGATCTTCTTCTCTGTACACTTAGCAACGAGACCACAAAAATGAAGCTATTGAACAATAATAGTATCATCATCATGCTCTTTGTTTTTCTGATTTTGGCATTTACCAAAGTCTCATCATCCCTTGAAGAAGAAGGGTACAGCAGAAATGACTTCCCTCCAGGATTTGTCTTTGGTTCTGGCACATCAGCTTATCAGGTTCCTCTTCTTCTTCAACCCTTTTTTTTTACTGAATTTTGTAACATTATATTTTCACCTTCATGTGTTGCAGTGAAATATCTTATAAACTATCAGATAAAACAGTGTCTTTTAAAAAAAATATTGTATCCATGATGTACAAAAACAGGTAGAAGGAGCTGCTGAGGAAGACGGGAGAACTCGTAGCATTTGGGATGTTTTTGCTCATTCAGGTCTTTTTTTGTTTTAATTATCTACTATTCCCTCACTTTATGTCACTCTAGAGATGTATATACTCATAAGCCTGATGTTTCATTTGCAGGACACTCTGGAGGAGCAACAGGGGATGTTGCATGTGACCAATATCACAAATACAAGGTCACCTTCTCTCATCTGTAATAACATTTCTCTGTATTACGTATTCAAGCATTAACTTAGTCTGGTGCTGTTTGCAGGAAGATGTGAAGCTCATGGTAGATATTGGATTGGATGCTTACAGATTCTCCATATCCTGGTCAAGGCTTTTACCAAGTATATAGCTTTTTGTCCTTTAACTCATTTCTAAGCATTCAATTAATATGAAGTCTTTTCTAATCCATTTTTTTGGATTTTGTTTCAGGTGGAAGAGGACCAGTTAATCCCAAGGGGCTACAATATTACAACAATCTTATTGATGAATTGATCACTCATGGTTATATTCACTTTGTATACCTATCCTAGTTTATTAGTAGCTACAAGATTAAAATGGTGTTTTCTACTACTTTAACTGAAGCAGGAATTGAGCCACACGTTACGTTGCACCACTTTGATCTTCCACAGGTCCTAGAAGATGAGTATGGAGGTTGGCTAAGCCGAGAAAGCGTGTATGATTTTTTTGATTAATTCTCCTTTTTTTTTCTTCTGATTGGTGATAGATATCATATCAGTCTTATTGTAATGAGTGTAGGAGAGACTTCACAGCATATGCAGATACTTGCTACAAGGAGTTTGGAGATAGAGTGTTGCATTGGACTACAATAAACGAGATCAACGTGTTTGCACTTGGAGGGTATGACCAGGGAATAACACCTCCTGGTCGTTGCTCTCTTCCATTTGGACTTAACTGTTCCGAAGGAAACTCTTCCACTGAGCCTTACACTGCTGTACACAATATGTTACTCGCACATGCTTCTGCCACAAACTTATACAAGAAACACTACCAGGTTCTTAGTTCTCTTCTGTGTCTTCCCTATGCACTACTATTGTCTTTAGCTAAGTCCACTTCATTACTTAGCATAAGCAACAAGGATCGGTAGGCATTAGCATATACACATACGGTGCTACCCCCTTAACTAACTCGACAGAGGATAAGCAAGCAACAGCTAGATTGAATGACTTCTTTATTGGTTGGTAAGTCTATAAACAATCAAAATGTTGAAGCATCTATTACATTTTGATCACTGGTTTTGTTTTGTTAAGGGTCTTACATCCACTGGTGTTTGGTGATTATCCTGAAACAATGAAGACCAATGTTGGGTCTAGATTACCTGCTTTTACAGAGGATGAGTCTGAACAAGTTAAGGGTGCTATCGATTTTGTAGGAGTGATAAATTACATGGCACTTTACGTTAAAGATAACTCTTCCTCTGTGAAACAAAATCTCCATGATTTCAACATAGACATGGCTGTGGAACTGACCCGTAAGTTATATGATACTGTGTGGAATATTAAAGCTAATGAATGATTTGGCTCACTGATTACTCCCATATTTGCCTTACAGTGGTTGGAAACACATCGTTCAGTAATGAGGTTTGTAATATAAGTACTGATCACTTAAAAGAGAGAGACTAATGATTGGTGTTTTTTGCTTTCATTTAGTATGCTAATACACCATGGAGTCTAGAACAAGTACTGTCGTATATCAAAGAAAATTACAGCAACCTTCCTATCTACATTGCAGAGAATGGTCTCTCAACTCTTAGATTTCAGTTTTGGTTCATGTGTCTTGCTCTCCCTCTCTCTCTCTCGCTTCAGTGAATGATTCTTCGTTTACAGGTCAGATGAGTCCTCAAAGCTCATCACTTGAGGACACTTCAAGAATTAAGTATCTGAGCTCACACATTGAAGCAGTGCTACATTCACTCAGGTAACTTCTACCGTAAATGAGTAGCACAAAAGTTCTATGAATGTGTCAAGAAGACTCTTAAGATTCAATTATACCAAAAGCAGGAAAGGAGCGAACGTAAGAGGGTATTTTCAGTGGTCGTTGATGGATTTGTATGAGATATTTGGTGGGTATAACAGGAGTTATGGATTATATTACGTGGACTTCAAGGATCCTTATCTTAAGAGGTACCCTAAACTCTCTGCTCACTGGTTCTCTTCCTTCCTCGGAGGAACACTTCACCATCCATCGCATGCTTCTTCTTCTTCAGCTCTCTGATCATTTAAATCTCATATATTGTATGTTCAAAATAATTCCAGTGGACATGTATCTTGCGTCTGAAGCAACATTTATGTACTTGTGAGTAATTGATATGGATAACGTTCTTACCTATTAGCGTGTTTGACCTAGTTTCTAATTTGCGTGTGAAGTAAGAAAAACACACTTTCGTATAAAAGCCGTACATAAACATATCATTTCTGGTTGTCATCTGCATTTCACTTCACGCAAGAGACAATGCTTTTCTTTACCGGATTTGGTTATTTGCTTATGCATTTTGCTCCTTGCTGTTTATTTTATTTAGAAATTGTAAAATTATTCCAATACATTGTAGGCTAAGTCACTAACCTTTGTCTATAATACGAAAATCTTTTGACTAACTTTTATTTGGATTTTTCTTTTGAAAACTTTAATCCCACTGTTTACTGGGGCTACATGTTTACAACCAACTACCACTCGAAATGAATAAAACAATTTGCACTTTAGCAGTAAATCAATGGTGTTCTCTCCTGTTAACTTTTGACGATATTTTTGAACTTTTTCAATAATTAATGTATTTATAATTGCACTTTCTACAATAAATCTTCATTAAAATTTGGATATTTTCTTGCAGTTCACCACAATAAAATTGACAAAATCATGATGTCTTCACAGTACCTCAAAGGCTCAAATAGTATAGCTAAGGATTTATAACCTTATAAAGTGCAAAAGTACATATCCCTCTAGTATTTTGTTTATAAGCTATAAAGAAATCGCTTTTTTTTTATGAGCAGAAAACAACTATATATGTATACAAAGATTGTAAATAATGAAATTGAAACAAATTAAATAAAATAAGATTTGGTGGCAAAATCATAATGGGGCATTAAGTAAAAAATAAATAAAATGGGCGGCTTGACAATGATAAAAGCAAAGATTTGGTGGCAATATGCAAAACAATATTAATTTCTTTGAAATGTTATTATAACCTTTTTATTATCGATAAGTTGCTAATTTGACCCCACCAATAAGGCAAGAAGACAGTTTTTTACTGATATGTTTCAATATAATTTAGACAAAAGGACACCCACCCATGCCATGGTAAAAAATAATGAAACCAGTTCTTAAAAGGTAAAATATCTCTCACAAACTATTATCATTTGTCGATCAAAAACTTAAAAATGAAGTTCTAATTAATATAGGGTATGCTTTCTAAATTTTAGAAGCAAAAATGTATGGTATTCTCTCCATTTTATTTTAGGTGTGATTAAATTTTCTCTTTTACCTCTATTTAATATTCTCTCCGTTTTATTTTAGTTATCATTCTAGGTTTTTGCACATAGATTAATGAAATATTTAATTTTACATGTTTTCAAGATAAAAATACAAATACCTATACACTTAACCACTTTTAAACCAATAGAAAAATATAATATTATATAAAACTAATAATTTTTTTCTCGAAACACTAAAACGACACTTAATTTGTGACAAAAAAATAAGTATAAAATGACAAGTATTCTGAAACGGATGGAGTATATTATTTTATTTATTTTTATTAATTAATGAGATAAAAATAGAGGTGAAAACAGAAAAAAAAAATATTTTTTTTGAAAATATAAAACAATATTTATAATAAAACAAATTTTAAAAGTAAAATCGAGACCTAATATGAAACTTAATGAGTAAAAAATAAATAGTGATATCGTAACGAGTCTGTCAATACATAATTAATGTTAAAACAAAATTAAAGGAAATAACTGAAACAGAAATCAAATATTACATTTTACTATAACTTTTGATATGTTCCCAAAAATAACATTTTGACTTTTGCTTTCTGTTTAGTTTTGTTTTTCCGCCGACATCACCACCTTCTCTCTTCTTCTCTTCCTCTGTTCATAAATACGTTACGCCTCTGTTTTTTTATCTATAAAGCAAACACGAGACGCAAGAGAGAGAGAATAAGATTAAAAAAAAAACTCGTTTTCTTGATCAGATTTGTTGATGTTCATCTAAAACTTATAAACCTCTTGTTTTGTGTGTTTATTAATTTAATTTTTTTACGTTTTGAGAAAATGAAATTCTGTAAGAAGTATGAGGAGTACATGCAAGGACAAAAGGAGAAGAAGAATCTACCTGGTGTTGGATTCAAGAAGCTCAAGAAAATTCTCAAGAGATGCAGAAGAAAAGATCCTTCTCGTACTGCTTTAAACGAATCAATCAGTCAACAGCATGGCAACACCTGTCCTCGTGAATGTACAGGTACTTTTGTTTAGAATCATTCATTCATGTGAAGATTCAAACATCAGATAACGTTTTATGTTTTTTTGCAGTTTGTGATGGAACTTTTTTCCCGGAGCTTCTCAAGGAAATGGAAGATGTTGTTGGATGGTTTAACGAGAACGCTCAGAAGCTTCTTGAGTTACATTTAGCTTCACGTTTCAAAAAGTGTCTTACTTGGCTCAAAGGCAACACTCGCAAAAGGAGGAGTCATCTTGGTTTGATCCAAGAAGGCAAAGACTTGGTTAGCTACGCTCTGATCAACTCAGTAGCCATTAGAAAAATCCTCAAGAAATACGACAAGGTTCATGAGTCTAGCCAAGGACAAGCGTTTAAGACACAGGTCCAGAAAATGCATATTGAAATCCTTCAATCACCATGGCTCTGTGAGCTTATGGCGTTTCACATCAACCTGAAAGAATCTCAGAAGGACTACTCTGGAGCTGTTCCTGCACTGTTTGATGGTTGCTCTTTGGTGTTTGATGATGGAAAGCCTTTGCTTTCCTGCGAGCTTTCTGATTCTGTAAAAGTTGACATCGACTTGACTTGTTCAATATGCTTGGTAAGCAAAACTTGAGATGACATCACAGAATCTCAGTGTCAATAAACTATTAGTTGACTTGGTAGGAATCTGAAATATAGGACAAAGTAACTATCAGCCTATTATGATAAAGTCTTAAGCTCTGTTGTGTGTCAAAGTGCTATTCCACTCTTCTCTTGCAGATTCCATTTCAAATACTAAGTTTTTTTTAGTATCTTACTGAAAGAATCTTTTATATGGGAATGTATAACAGGACACGGTGTTTGATCCGATATCTTTGACATGTGGTCACATATATTGCTACATGTGTGCTTGTTCTGCTGCATCAGTAAACGTAGTTGATGGCTTGAAAACTGCAGACCCGTCTGAAAAATGCCCGCTTTGCCGTGAGGTTATTAGTTAAACACATTATCTTCACCAACTTTATTGATGTACTCTAATCTTTGCATCTTTAATTCACCCATTGGATGACAGGTTTGTGTTTATAAAGGTGCTGTTCACTTGGACGAGCTCAGTATCTTGCTTAAGCGAAGGTAAACCTGTCTTGTAATGTAGTCTTTCTAACATGTCTTTTAAGAATGAGGACTGAAACAGAAAATTTTAAACATGTAATACATGCAGCTGCCGAGAGTATTGGGAGGAAAGGCGTAAAACAGAGAGAGCAGAGAGGTTACAGCAAGCCAAGGAGTACTGGGACTACCAATGCCGAAGCTTCACTGGAATATAACAACTTGATTTGTGGCTTCTCAAGTGAGACATAAGTACTTGAAGATTCTTGGTTTTGATTTATTATGAGCTAATAAAAAACTCAATATTGATTGTGATCTGCTTTCCTCTGTGACTGTGAGTGTGATTGCTTACAGAGTGACCATTTGTTTGTGTAATAGACTGAAACTCTAAAGCTTCTATGGTATTTTAAAAATTTTGCATGCGTTAACAACTCTCAAGAATAAAGTTCCTCAAAATTAAGATTTTTCCTTTCATAAAAACTTGGTGAACATATTGTTTTAGTAGGTGTTGCAAATTTATAACAAAATTGAACGCAAAAGAGACAAACATGTCATGCATAATTTCCATCATCATGGAACTAAAACAGGGTTCTTATCCTTGTAAATGAGATATCTTGTGCATAGCTTCCGCAACGTTGCAACCGAATGTTGCATCGAGTTCAGCTTCCTGTCTCGGTACATGGCCTGTTGTTCAAACGAATACATACAAGTTATAGAAGGAGAATATCTAAATCAGGTTAAAGATTATCAGAGAGAACTAATAAAACTAACCTCAATGTCATCACCATGTTTCTCAACCAAACGTCTAATATGAGTACGTTGCATAGTTGTAAGAGGCTGTAAAGGAGCACTCTTCCCATCTTTTCTTTGCTTCCCTAATGCTGTCTTAAGATCTACACATCACCACAAGTCAAAGCATTCAGTACAATTAGCTACCAAAAAAAAAAGAAACTTGCATACAACCGAGAGAGAAACTTTTGTAGTTGCTAAAATGATTCCATAGATTATATTCTAAGAAGCAAAAGCGTGATGCTTGCATTAAAAGCTACGATTTTTCATTGACATAGTCTGTTTTCCCCAAAACTTCCACACAAAACCCTAATTTTTAAATTGAACACAAGCTAAAGTTCATTCATCAATAGTCAGTTTCTCCAGCTTCTTCCTACATTAGACTCAAAGTTAAACTTGCATAACTCTTTAAACAAATAGAGAAGCTAATGAAGCAGATTCTTGCTTATTTACAGCTACAGGGTTAGCATGTGTAGGTGCTAAAACGACGCAGGATTATAATCTAACAAGCAAAACCGTGATGCCTTGCATTAGAAGCTAATATTTTTCATTGGCACATTCTGTTTCCCCACAAACTTATCCACAAAAGTACAAAACCCTAATTTTTTTTTTAAACCCTGATTTCTAAATTGAACACACAAACGTCAAAAGAGAGATAAAAACGGTACCGTCTTCCTCAAGTTCGCTTCCAGAATCAATAGGTTCGAACTCCTTGGCGACAGGATCATCAGTAGGCGGCTCAGGAGGTGGAGGAACGTTGAGGGAATCGTCTTGGATCATATGGTCGGTGCGAGAACGGATGCCTAGCAAATTAGGGTTAGAGATGACGCCGAAGGATTTGTAGTTCTGGATGACGCTAGCTTGGTCGTCCCATTCGGGAACATCGTCGGCCATTAGAGCGCGGAGCTTGGGAGGGAAGTTGAAAGCTGGTTTGAAGATGTTTGGGTTTTTCTTGGGGAGAGCTACACGGACTTTAGCTCTTGAGTTCTTGTACTTTCTTCTTGACCTCGCCATCTCTCTCTCTCTTTCTCACAGATTTTTCACTCTTTTTTTTCTTTTTCTTACAGATGAAAGCTCGCGGCGGACAATGGGTTTAAGCACAAGGGTTTTGTCTTGTCTCCCTTAGACGACGTCGTTTATTGACTTAACCTTTTCTCGGTGTTGGCCCATTATTATAATTAAATGCTTTAGTTAAAGGCCCATTAATAAAGAGCCTTCTTTCATAACTCAACCCACATATGTATCTCTCTCTCTTCTTACCAGCTCTATACAATTTATTTGATGACTATAAGCTTTAAAATCAACATTCTACACACATTTTGATGTCACTCTTGTTCTTTAAGAAGAATTGATTGGTCAGTGAATTTTTTTTCACTTTAAAATGGTAAATGCTATACCTAAATTCATTTCTTCCATGGAAGATTACACTACCAGTCAACTAAGATGTTACTACAAAGTAAAAACAAAAGCTATGTATGTGTACAGTTTTTTGTTTGGAATTTTGGTTAGAATTTAGAGAGTAGTCTATACTCTATAGACTGACTACCTAGTAGTTATGGATATAGACAATATTATAGAGCTTCTCACAAACTCTTTAAGTCCACTCAATCGGCGCAACAAAAATATTGCAAGTTCAAGAACAACAACAATAATATAAAAACAGAGCAAACCATATAAGACCCGAATCAGGGAGTTCAACAATCCAACAAGTAAAAAGTGGAGGGAAAAGGATTTAAAAGAGCAAACCAATCAGCGGTTTTCATAAACGCATAACAACTCTTGGTTAGCCATACCATAAGGTTTTAAGGACAGTGTCTTCATTTGTCACTCTTAACAGTTGTTTGCTCTTCTGCTTTAGCCTCCTCTGTTGCAGGAGCAGGAGCCTGAGCTTGAGCTTCCTCCTTTTTCTCTCCAGATTTTACTTCTTCTCCTGCAAATACAAAATCATTTGGTTGCCAAGAGTTTTGAATATAGGATTACAAGAGATAACAGTAGAAAAAAACTACCATATCAAGAAAAATGATCTAACAAAAACTTAATCAAGAAAAGGGTTTGAAAAAGATCTAACCTTCATCATCACTATCTTCAAATTCTTCCATACCACTCATTCCACCAAGACCGCTCATACCACCCATTCCACCAAGGCCTCCCATTCCACCGAGCCCTTCAAGCCCGGCCATTCCACCCATACCACCAAGCCCCTCGAGACCTCCCATACCTCCCATTCCACCCATACCTCCCATGCCACCAAAGTTCTACAAGAACCAAGGAGGTCTTGCTCAAAACTTAACTAAACGAAACAGAAGATGATCAACACTAAAAGATAAAAAAATCAATACCGAGAAATCCATTCCTCCCATGCCACCCATTCCCCCCATATCCGTCATATCTCCAGGACCTATACAAAAAAAAACAGAAAGAAGAAACCAAAAAAAATGAACAATGCCTTACAAATTTATTTAAGTGCAGAGAAAGTGATGTTGAAAAGAAATGGTGAAGAAGTGTGCTAACCAGTGGCGGGATCATCATCCTCATCAACCCACTTGTCCCAATCAACTTTAACATAGTGAGGAGGTTTCCCTCCTCCACCCAATAGCTTACCCCACCATTTCGGCTCTGCTTTCTCCACAATACAGAATATGCTCCTTAATCCAATGTTTATTTTGCTTTCCTTAAATCCCCAATAAAAAAAAAACATGACAAGATTAACTTAATATGAAAAACAGACTAAACCAGAAACTAAATCCCCAAGGTCTTGTAAGTGAGTCTCACCTCTACATTGACCTTATCATTAAGCTCAAGCTTAAGCTCATAAAGCTGGTTCTCTGGTCCAGCTTTCGCAGAGAAATCAAAAACACCTTCCGGATCAAGCTTAACATTTGCATCCTTAGCATCAGGTAATAGCACTGTTAAGTAAACCTTATCCTCTCTCTCTGCCCATTTCACTTCTGGATGGTGACTGTCACAAATATTCACATATAAAAAACACAATAAGATTCAAGTCTAATCATAAACTTAGGTCCGAATCTAACACACAACCACCGATGATATTCAAGAGATAGATTATCAAACTGTACCTCATGATTTACTGGAAGCAGGAAAAAACTTTTGAGTAAACCCTAGAAGGACGGAACAACAACGATGACGACGCAAAGTCGCAAATAGATATTTTATTTTTCGATCGAGAATTGTTGCGACGACGACAGAGAGACTATGTTTATAGTCCACCGAGTGATGATCATGTGTGTGCTAGTGTACAGTAAGTTAGGTCTAATCATAGAATAATCTAACGGTTGAGAGCTCGCTCGATAAGTGTTTACAGGAATTTGTTTTGGACAGGAAAGCAGTACTCGCTTTTACTTTTTCCAACTACGGAACTTACTTTTCTGGCCCATATTCAATAATACTTTACCAAACATATAGTTTTGGTATCATATGTACATAAATCTAATTGTCCTTTTAAAGCAAGTAATGTATCAAATATTATTCAGCTTTAAGTTCAATCAAATTTTATTATGACCAAATAAATAACTTTAAACTTAGGACTTTAGCTTTATTTATTTTTAAAGCATTGATTCTAACCAAATCATGATGTAACTTTGTTTTTAAAGTTAAGTTAAAATTTTGTTATATCATATACAGCCATATTTATTTTGTTTGTTCATGTTTTACTTTTTTTTTGCTAAAACAACTATTAAAATACTTTAGAAATTGTAGTCTTCTTCTACACCAAAATAATATAACAACAAAAAATTACAAACTAAATCATATAGCTATATTTCTACTCTACAGTGTAACCAATCTATAATTGGGATGGTAAGCTTGATTATATCTAAATAGACTGATAATCCAGAATAAACCAAAGAGATTAAGAAGAAGAACAAAGAACAGCTTTATGGTATCACAGGTCATATTCAAGAAAGGAGTAAGGAGAAGTGGACTCTATAAAAGATAACGGTGTCCAGGACCAGCATGGTGCCTAGCGTAGCGTCTGAAGATTGTTTGATGATGACATCAAGTTTGAGACATGTTATTCTAAAAAGTTTCTTCGCGCCTTGGCTTCCTACTTTCACAATCGCCAGTTTCTCAAGTGATAACTCGTCCTTTTCTTGTACATTTTCCCAGGTCATGCTTTGGCTGCTAAGCTCAACATATCTTGGTTCCGACCGAAGACAATAATAATGTCCATTTTATAACACGAGTGCTATGGTGTTTTTGTTTGTTTGGTTAAAAAGATACCTGGACGGTCTGTTCGTTAGTCTTGAGAGTGATTGTACTCTACTCATTCACGTTTTGAGTTCTTTCTTTATATATTCCAAACATCCGCAGTCACATTGGTGAGTTCAGACTAGGACAAATCAACCAAGATGTCCCCCCACTCACACGTTAAATGACAAAACAAATGAAATGATCTCGTAAAAAGAATACGGAAAATGGCATCTAAGTATTCATATAACGAGAGTAGTGGTACAGCCGAAGTCTTATTCCTACTTAATGCTATAGTGAAAACTAAATATTTGAAGTACTGCGATGCATCCAAAATATCGTAGAAAAATAACAAAGTGTCCTTGTGGAGTCTTGTCCTTGTTGTTGTTACCCCACCCACGCCTACGGTCTTGTGGAGTCTTGTTTCTTGATGGATATCGTCCACAAAAGATCTGAATCCGATTCAACTGTGATTTTCTCCCCTTTAACCATATTCGATGTACTTACCAACCCACCAAACCTCATTTCAGTGTTGGCTTTCAGACGATTATAAACACAAGTATAAACCATAGTTAGAGATCCATGTTATGCTTTTCAGACAATACATAAAACAGATATAGAACAAAATAGTTAGATCGGTTTGATGAAACTTACTGAGATCCCACTGAAGCCCTGTGGTTGTGGTTTTGGCAGATGGAGCACCGATAGGGATGAGTCCACAGTGAGGTCCTTGTAGAGAAGGCTGAATTTGAATCTCATGTCGATGAGTCTTTGGAAGGAGTTGGATGAGGCAATCATCAGACAAGAGAGTTATCCTTGTGTCTGGGTATCGATACAAGACGTTAAGATTACCGGCTTCATGATCAAATCTTCCCCCGAGTGCCCCTGTAGCAAGAATCTGGAGCTAGCAGAAGCAAAAAAAGAAGCCAAAAAGTGAAAATGCTTTTAACAACATATACAGCTTTTCGGCTATGCTAAAGATTGAATTGATAACTTACTCTGCAGCTCTCTTGATTCAAAGTAGAGTGACGAATATACAAGATGCATTTATCAAGATCTGTTGTATCTTGATCATGAGATTTATCTATCACTTTGGTTCCCTGAAACACCAAGAGTAGAGCAATCAATCAAAAGCAGAGAAAGACACCATACAATGTGATTCTTTCTTATACAAAAAAGAAGCTTACCAAGCTTTGATAAAAGTGGAGGACATCAGGGCGAATAGAATCCATATCTCCCTTGATGACATCTGGTTTATACCTAAAGACATTCATTCCCATTACATCCTCAGAACCAACTCTCCAAATATCCAAATAAGAACAGAGAACATATTGATGTTTGGCTATAAAGACAAGAACTTTCCAGTTTCACGAAAAAGATAATGCTTAAATTTCTAAACGCATTAGTTGTCAAATCATACGAAGAATAGAGTTTGAATCCATATGATACTCAATATCTTCAAGGAAGACTATTTTTCTTCCAATAAACCAATCCACAAAAGTTTTATGTTTTTGATTAGTTTTCCTAATTCAAAAGTCTCAGACAAGACAAAGCTTCGGAAACAGACAAAACCTGTTACGGATGAGGAGAGCGTCTTCCTGAGGGAAGAAGAGAGGTAACTCATCGTATATGCGATTAGCTCCTCCATCAGCACAGAGACGCAGTTTTGCTGTTCTAACACACAACACAAAAAACATATTCAAACGAATAAACAAACCTAGATAACACAAAGTAGTATCATATATCTTTGTCCGAAGATAGAGAGAGAGAAGGTACCATGTTCCCAGAGAAGAGGAGTGAATCGTGGTAGCTTCTGGTTCAGAACGACGATAGCGTATCTCGTCGCTTCGTCGGCGGGAATCGATGGGAGGAGAAAGCTCGAAGAGTGAAACATTACTTCCATGGCTGACATCATCGCCGAGACGAGAGAGATGGATCGTTTTGTGTAAATTATATTTATTCATTCATTGATTTGCTAGAACATTCAGATGATATTAAATACCTAACCGAACCGACCAAAACGTTGACTTTTCAAAGATTGATTTGGTTAAAATGGAGGGCCACGTCTTATTATATTATTTTCATCTGACGTCGCGTTTTACTATCAGAAAGGGTTCTTTTTCCTGACCATTGAAAAGGTATCTTTGTAACCTATAGTTTATATTTAATTGTATTTTTGTTTACTATTAAAAAAGTAGAGATATTTTCCTTGCAATTGTGTTATTATCGACATCTTCCAGAAGATCATCTTGTCCTCACATGAATTGTATATCCCTCTAAAACAAAGAGAAAGCAAAGTTTAATTAACTCGCTAAAAGTAGAATTTATTCCTAGTAATAGAAAAGGTCTGTTTTAGATCCAAATTGCATAAGCTTCGTCTCTTCAGCAGCTAAAAGGATGCTCTTGTAGCAATCTAATCATCTAGTTCAATAACAAATCATAGTGAAAGAACACCAAAAAAAGATAAACTGGATATAAAATAAAATAAAATTACTAGTAAGACACCTAAACCTTCTTCTCTATATACATAGTTCAGTACATAATTAATTAACCATGTAAATAGATTGCACATCAGGAGGATGTTTCTCACTGTTTTTCTGAGAGAGCAAAAAAAAATTGAGCGACCAAAAACATTTTAAGATCATTCAAGAGGACTCTTCTCTCTCTTAAAGGATCAAAGACGTTTTTCCATATCTGTTTCTTCTTTTTTTTACATGAAGTAGCTCAGTGATGTCTTCTTCCTTGAACCTCCTTCTCCATATAGCTCGTTCCATTGCTGCAGCTCGTTCATGTTCGATGAATCAGTCGACACACTCGCACATACCTACAAACACCAAACATCACCGCATTCAAAATCCCAAAAACTTTTTGACCAGCTGTGAAACTAATGTATACATGATGTTTCAGTCTCTCAAACCTGTTCATGTGCGGTCTTGAAATCATTCATGTTCAAGGGTCTAATGTCTGCACTATTATACAATTGCGGCATTGGTCGGTTTTCGGCTTTAGCCACACTTATCTCCTGCGAGTCAAACGGATAGGCATGAATTCTGGTTTAAAGAAGAAAACTCACAAATGTAATAGACACTGTGATATTTAAAATAAGAGCCAAAACCTTCTTTTCTTTTTCCAGTATCTCCCGGATAGGTATATGCGCTGCGGTCACGCAAAGATTCTGCAAACCAAAAATTGTATTTTTTTCTCTTCTTTAGAATGTGATTTCTACGAAATAGTTATTATTTAGATGGAGGAAATAACAGACCTTTAAGTCACTCCCTGAATACCCATCTGTCATGTTTGCTATAGCTTCTAAATCTACGTCCTCAGCCATCTCTTCTTTTGCCAAAATCACGTTCAAGATCTTCGATCTGTTTGCTGAATCCGGCAGATTAACCATCAACCTGCACAACAGCATATCAACTCTTAAGCGATGTTTCGAAGATGACATGAAACAGAGAAATATTGACAGTTTATTACCTTCGGGGAAGCCTTCTAATTACAGCTTCGTCAAGGTCGAATGGCCTATTGGTAGCAGCTAGCACTAAAACTCTTTCTTTATCCTTTGTGCGTAAGCCGTCCCAGTTTATCATGAATTCGTTCTTCATCTTACGCATAGCTTCATGTTCTCCTGGATTCTCCCGCCTTCCCAACATGCTATCAACCTAAATAATTTCATTTCCATTCAAAAGATATTAAGAAGGCAGAAGAAACTGTCATGAGGTTGTGAAGCAAACTATCGGTAAAGTTGCAAATAAGAAAAAGGGAAAAGAAACGGGCATTCAAAGAAGCATAAAGCAGAGAAGAGCTGTTTTCATACCTCATCAACAAAAATGACGCTTGGAGCTATCTTACTTGCTAAAGAGAAAACAGCTTTTACATACTTCTCTCCCTCACCAAACCACTGCAAACAAAATATAAAGGTCAGGTATAATCTCAGGGAAATATAGAACTGAATCAGGTCACAGTTCTTAGAAATATATACCTTCGAAGTAATGCTGGACATTGAAATATTGATGAAGTTTGCACCAGCCTCAGTTGCAACTGCCTTTGCCAGCATCGTCTTCCCTGTCCCAGGCGGTCCAAACAACAGTATACCCTTTGTAGGCTGCATGGGAAAACAAACAGTTACTGTCTATTTCAGTTTCTAAAGAGGAGGGCGCGAAACAGACATTTGAAGTGAAAAGCGACAAGGTACCTTTGTAAGCTGGCCTTTGCCAAACAATTCAGGTCTTTGAAGAGGAAGCATCACCAACTCCTTCAATGTGTCTTTCACATTTTCCAAAGCCCCAATATCACCAAACGAAACACCAATATCACTTGGAGGAATGACGTCTGATAGTAGCTTTTTCTCGAATTCATTCTCAGTAACAACATCCTGTAATAATATAAGCATAGTAATTAGTAAAAATTACAGACGAAACTTGGTTAGCATATGAGGGAATGACATGAGGATTATGAATTTTACTTTGAGAGATTTCTTTGTGCTCTTGTTTTCGTTTAGAATCCCCTGCAACACCTGCAGACCATATGTGATGCTGCCGGAACACATGCCAAAAGGTTATTTTCAAGAAAAAAAACACAAGCATCAATAAGTTATACTTATTCAAAAAGCTCACTTTTCGGCAGAGATGATAAGCTTGTTGTCTTTGACCGTTGGTTCTGCGCAGCTCATAAGATGGTGACTGAAAGCCCAGCCAACCACTTTCTCCACGCCTATTAATCATAAAGTTCCGGGGTTAGCCAAATAACCATAGACAAAAGGAAGAAAGACAGAAAAAGGCAAGAGGGAAAGATCCCACTATCAGTCGGAAGGGATTGATCTTTGATGCACAAGGTTTCGAGGTCAGGGCACTCCAGGCGGTTTTTGCTAAGGACCTGCAAGAATCATTGAAAAGGACATAAGCAAACACACAAAAGAAGATAGACATGGGATATCATTCAAAAACGCTCACCACACGGATGCTGGTAATATTAGCTTGAGCCTTCAGGATCTCTGTATCACGTTCGAGTTTCTCCTTCCAGTCCAACACCAAAGCTTCGTCCTATTACATTTTAGAAGAAAATAAGATGATATAAAACAAAACAAATGATTCCAAAAAAAAAGAGAGGAAAGGATCATACATCAGGTAACTGGATGGTCACTTTGTTAGGAAATAGCCTTGTGATTTGTTTCACTGATTTAGGCATCTCTTTGTTCCTATCCTGCAGTCTACCACCAAAGTTATCCTGCAGATGACATGAAAATAACTCTCGACGTATCAAAGAGAGATAGTGAACATATTTTTGCATAAGCATATATGCAGTATCGTCACTTACAAGTTAGAACTCACGAGAAAAAGGGACAATATTAAAAGAAAGAGTGGGGTTATCATACCGGAAATGCAAGATCCAGTAATGTTGTCTGGTTGCTGCCAAACTTTGTGAACAAGAAACCTCCAGGATGGGACTGAAAATGAAATATAAAAAGGTCAACTAACCATTTTGAGAAGAATACGGCTTAAGCATACAAAAACAGAGTTCAAACAGAATTCCTACTTTCTCCTTTCGGCTATCCAATTGGGTTTGCGAGGCTATGACAACAACATTCCCCGGTAATTTTTCAAGCTTGCTCTTCAGAGTTACATACACTTCCGAGTTCCCCGACACAGATTTCTCAATGTCTTTCAAGAACAATATCAATGGCCCTTTTTCACTTTCATTAGAAAGCACCTACAGTATCATTCAAAGAGGTTAAAGGATTCTCCAGCTACAGAGACTAAGTAGCACTCTTCAAATTAAATAGACAGGTAACATAAGGTGCTGGTAAAAATTACCTCAAAGATTTCATTAATGGCAAGTCTATCAGCACTGTCACTGGAAGAACTATCTAACCGAAGTGAAGTCGCTGCACACAACGAATGTCATTAGTACAGCTAACTTTCAACGCAAAAGCGTAGATATTAGAAGGAAAATTACCAGTACAAAAGAAACCACGGCCTTTCTCGCATAGACCACCAAGGTCATTGCCATCTACTATTGGTCTATCAAATCTAACCCCGATTTTTGAAGATACATTGTCTTCAAACGCAAGGAGTACTTTGCCCTGTAAACCGGTTGTCGGTCCCCTCGATAGAATAGCACTAAAAGGAAAAAAACTATGTTCTTATTACAACAATCTATATCAGGTGAAAAGATGAGAAGAGAAACAACAAACAATACCTCTGTGGGGCATGTATAGAAGCAAGTGAGGAAGTTGCAGGGCCTACAAACTTCACTCGATCACCTACGAATTACAGAAGTGCTATTTAATAAAACAGAATGTGGCAAAAAAACGAAAGTGAAAAGTACTATATATATAACCATACCAGTTTTAAAGGTGTAACTTTTAGAGGTTGCGGTTGACACTTCTTGCCTCACACCAGCATGAGAACTCAATGTTGACCCACCTGTTATATCAGCCTCAACACTTGACGTTGGTTTCTTATGCTGCAAGACAGCAGCATGTGCAGCCTGTACGGCTCGTTTGGCAAACACAGTCAATCTTTCACGCCTAGAACTTTCTTTGGAAGAATCTGCTTCCTTAGCTGTTGGTCCCTGAAGCCACACATTCAAAGTAAAGAATCAATGTTAGAGTACTGTCTAAATCTCAGTACGTTAAGAGATTGCCCGGACAGATATATCTTCTGAGGCACAACCAAAATTCAAGAGTGCCAATTCAAAACCAATATGCTCACGATAGAAAAAAACAAAAGTTGAAAGTCATATGCCAAAAAAAAAAAAAAAAAAAGACGCTCAAATGACAAGAATATAAAGGCTAACTGGAAGTTTACCCCAGGTAATAGTAGCGTGTCAACAATCATCAATTTGGCCCCAAAATTTTTCGCAAGCGCTTTTGCTAAGACTTCCTGATATATCTCAGAGCCTTCAAATATACCATATGAAAAAATTCGTTATGAAAACGGCTATGTGAAACAAAATAATAAACCAATTATTATCCAGAGTTTCGTTAATACCAGCTGGTCCAGAGAGCAAGATACGGGGACACACTGTCGACAGCTCTGATGCATACTTTGCAAACTTTCTTTCAGACTTCATATGGACATATGTCGATGTTATCAAAACATCCTTAGTTGTGCCACTGAAAAATGCAGAGTTTTGTTTATCAAAATATGTAAGACCACACAATACATGTTGTCCATCTTATCATAGTCTGTAAAGCAAAAATTGGAGAAAATAAAAACGTTATAAATAACCATGACTGACCTTAAGAAATATGGGAAGTTCTCAAAAGAAACTTCTATGTCCTGAGGATTGAGTACTCCTGCTCGCAAACAATCCTTATGTGCTTGACGTCTGGTTGATACTGAAGCTGATGAACTATCATACTCTTTCGGCATTTCCTTCCCTTCCCTTCCATCATCCTTCAGTATTTTGGAAATGTCACCCCTTAAATCAAGTAGGCGCAAAATTGGTCTAATTTCATGTCCAGGACCAGGAATACTTACACCTTCTTCAGCTTCTTGAGATGGTTCCATTCCATTGCCATCAGCATTCAGGTCATCGTTGGCAGTAAAAGAGGCTGAGTCAACTGATTTATCCACCGAAGCAATAGCAGTATGAACATTGCTACTATCCGCATCATTCATATCAACATCCGGAATGCAATCATCGGAGCTAGAAGGTAGCACAGGAACCTCTGAATTTTTCTGCCTTTTGCCATTTCTAGCACTAGGTGGTAGAAAAGGGAGATTGCCTAACTTTCTTAAAGACGCCAATAAAGAGGATTGGTTAACAGATGAAGAGTCTCCTGCTCTTGTCTCAACATGAATCCCTTTCAGAGGAGCACTCTGCGCTTCAAAAATGCTCAATGAAGAAGCTCTATCTGGTGCAGCTAGATTTTCATCTTTCAGAGGCTGAAAAATCTGAATACTACGTCAAGGAAACAAAAACTATACAAGCAACAACATCATAGATAGATAGATAAAAAGAAAAGAATAATGTGACCCGTAAATACAGAATTGTGAATAATAACTTTCCAAAACACTCTAAAAAGGATACGTAAGCATGTTTCCCAGGGGTGCTGAAGACAACCTCATCTCCACCCCGCAGATGAACACAAGTACTCTTTTGATAAACTTTGCCATTGACATGAACAAGAACACCATTCCCTATTATCTCCAGCGAGGCAACTGAAGGACCTCCCTGCTGCTAAATAAAAACAAAACATTATAAGTAAAAAACTCTTGTGTCCTTTGGACTCGTAGAAAACTTAACCAAACAGATATAACTTTCATACCTCCATCTGCCTCAGTTCACACAGAACACTAGGCATAGACTGATCTTTAATAGATAAATCGCACCCCCGCCTTCCAACGGTAAACACAGGACCTCTCATGACACGATGAGGATTCTGAAACAGCAAATAAACAACAACTTGATCAACTAATGTGCATTGTCAACTAAACCTACTAAACACCCTAATACAAAACATGCAAACAGCAGATGAAACAAGTGAGGCACCTGTGGGTACTGAGAAAGAAGCTTAGCCCAAGGAGCCTTACTCCGCTTCTTCCCAGAGGATTTAGACTTCTCCGCTTGAGCCTCAACTTCACCTATAAACCCAAAATCCCACAAAGAATCAAAACATATAAGCAAAAAAAAAAAAAAAACCTTTGAGTAAACATGCAACATGCAAAACCTGTGGGTGTTGGCGTCACCAAGCCTTCCACTTGTTGGTTTATGTCGGTTTCATTACAATTCGCAATCGCCGGTTCATCATTAACCGGAACCGGATTTTGATCAGAAGTTCTCAGCTTCGGCTCCTCTCCAGATTCGGATCCAGGAACCGGAACCGGATTCTGATTCTCAATCGGTACATCACTCGCCGACGAAGACCCCGCCGGTTCAACCGCCGCCTAGGGTTTTATAACCAAAAAGAAAACTCAAAATCAATCAAAAAATCAAAAAAACCTAAAATTGGGAATCAAGAAGACGAGAAAGAAGCCCTAATCCACAATTGGAGAGTATATAAGAGAACAAACCTTGGATCGTTTGGTAGGGCGTGGGGATGAAGTTTCAGGAGGGGAAGAAGAAGTTAACCGCTTTGAAGCGGAAGAGCTACGCCTTGTCTCCACCATGTCTCAATACGAATCTCTCTTCTTTCTTATTCGCCGCCGCTTGATCCCAAATCAGAGACGCTTCGAAAAGAATTGAGGAATTGTTTTTTTTACTGCAAAAACTTTGTTTATCTTTTGTAGATATATACGCATTAATATTTTTCCTTTTTTCCGTCATATTTGTAAAAAGGAAAGACAGTTGTTACATTATTTTTTTATTATCATTGTGTATTAATTGTTTTTTGTAAACGACAAAACGTTAATTAAAAAAAAAAAAAAATTAGCTCCACTTAGAGTTTGACCCAGATAATTAGTTTTGGATATTTAAGGGGAGTAGATCCTCCTCTCTTGATTATTGTCAAGTAGATATTTATTAAAAAATCTAAAGTCCAGCAGTCAATATATGATTTTTGTCAAAAAAAAAAAAAAAGACTGATAGAATATTCTGCATGTCAATGTTAGATCTGTTCATCTTCAGTCTTGGATTATATAATGTTGACAGCTTGACATGTTTACTACAGACTTGCAACAAATCCACTTGATCACCCATTCATAAATCCACTTGACATGCCTTTTTAGAGATTTGTGAAATAGCTATGAATTGTAGTACTTTTTCTACTTATCAAGATGTATGCTTTTAGATTGTCACATAGTTTATAAAATTTGTTACTGTATTTACAAACGAACGGATAAAATATTGTTCATATATATAAATAAGTAAAAGGTAAGAGATTTGGACTTTCTATTATTTTACGCATATTAAGAGATGTAACCACCAGTTGTGGTAAAGAGATGTAACCACCAGTTGTGGTAAAGAGATGTAACCACCAAACTACATAGCAGTTGAATGTTGTATTAAGCACGTGAAATGATCCCCCCTTTATATATAGAGACTGAGTAATTACTAAAATGAAATCAGAGCTATCATAGACAGAAAAATGTAACTGGGGAAAAAGTGTACTTGGGTAACGACGACACGTTAGTGTGGTGTGTTTTCAGGCCCATTAAGCTAACCCGTATTCGAATCTGACGGTCCAGTATGCTTTACAGTTAGTTGATGGTAGTAATGAAATATTACTCTTTCACTGCAAGAAAAGAAGAAGTTTTGAAGCTTAAACATTAAAATTATGATTATGTGTATTTTACTTTTATGATTCCATAATTTTTAGCTAATTAAAATTTAAGAAATTTTAATTGATTTTCTTTATTTTATTTTTACAATTTACCATTATTACCTAATAAAATATTAAAATGTACTTTGTTAGACAAGTTTTTTTTTTGAAACATATATTATTTTTAAATGGACTGACAATAATCATCTCATAATTTACCCTACAAGATTAGAATCCAAATTATCAGTGTTTAATTTTTACATATTTTTATTGATGTGAAAAAAAAACTAAAGCAACTCAAAGTCAAAAACATGTTTTACATGTTTGTTAGTTGTTATGGTTTAGGTTGAGAGTTGGTCGCCGTAGTTTATTTACAGCTTGAGAACATATCCAACACCTTTTCAGTAACCTAGAAACCGGTTACTCAATTAGAACGCAGTTAAGAACCAAACCAAACCTGGTTTTGAATAAACATATGCCTTGTACTATCATTTGTGCAAGAGAGTATACACATGAATAATTCAAAGCTTATAGCACAGCTAAACACTTAATGGATCATACCAACTTATATGAGTACGTACAAATTATAAGAAACTATAAAGAAGAGAAGAGATAAGACTTGTTTATGGGCACCTAACTCCTGCAACGAGCTATTGCGCTACAACCACGACTATAAGGATTAGCCTGAGCTCCGTTCTGGCAGTTATAATAAGACGCCCCTCTTCTCGAACAAGGCACACTGTTCCGCTTCAAAGATTGATAACTTATGTATTTTGTAGTCGCCAATATTCTTCTGTTGATCTCTGAGTCCATCTCCTCTTCCTCTGCCCCAATACATTCTGCTATTGAACCGTGGCAGCCTGAGGAGCCATGGACTCTCGTCGTGGCCCAATCTAGACCGTCAAGGTCACTGGGGAAGCCAGCTTTGATCAGAGGTGAAGAGATGATGAAGAAGAAGCTGAGTATCATAAGGGTTGGAAACATAGAAAAAGACTTGGCCATTTTTTCTCTCTTCTCTCTTTAGGTTTCTTTTGTATGCATTGTTGCTTGAGAATTAAGATATATATATACACATTGGCGAGTGCGTGGACACAAGTTTTGTTTTTGTTAGTGGTTGAACATGTTTTTTTGTTTGTATGTTATTTCTTATCAAAATCAAGTGATTTTGTTTAATAGAAAATATTTAAACATTATAGAATGTATTATCATATTTACGTAAATGCCATTTGACAATGAGATTCAAAGAAAGATTAGGCAAATGAATGATTTATTAATGGAGAGTTGTTGGGAGTGGTTGAATATTTGTTAGAACCGACACGAAATGTACCTAAAGGAGTTGATATATTTGAGCGGTCAAGCGTTCTTTCATTATCCATTTGAATGTTTTTTTAATTCTTAAATCAACATTATTATATTTTCTTAATGATCTGAAAGCACTGAATCTTTAAGCTATGATTCGTTTTCTTTTCCATAACGACTATAAGACGAGTTGGGCTATCGCTATCCCAAGCAAACAAGGACAATAAGACCTAACCCTTCTTTAACTAATCTAAAACAATCGAGAATTATTAGACTAGCACTTTCTAACGAATACTATTGTTTAAGATAATACAATCTTCTTTAAAATATCGAGTTTATTTCTCACCGATTCAGGACGCGTTTCATTATTAATAGCCTTCAAACATCTTTAGAATATCGAGTTTTATGAACCACTTTTGGATTGCGAGGTTCGTGTATATTTATATTTTAGTGATCATACTCTATTTACTATTTGTTTTCCTAAATCATTGGCCTACTACTACTATGCTTTGCAGATTGTGATAGAAAACAACAGAAACGAGAATTCATCTTCATCTATTTCCGAAATGGCAGAGATTGTTGTGTCCTACTTACACGAAAATGAATACCTCAAGCTGTGGTAGAGAATCACACTCCACAAAAGTCACATAAGGATATGGGTAATATGTACAAACATCGCTTGTAATATATTATATATATGCTCAAAAGTATCAGTAGTCTCGTGTCATGTATAAATCATGAATTCACGTTTCATTGTTTGAATGTGATAATAAAAAATCATGATTGTTGTAACGTTCCTGAACCTTTTGGACGTGATCACCAAATGATCAAAAAACTGATCTGAGAATGTCAATATCCCTTATTGGTTCAGGCTAAGTGAAATAGATCATAGGTTCGAGCTTAAATTTATTGGCCCAAACTAAAAATAAGGCCCATAATTGAACCTGGTGGGATGCTATTTGGGCCGAATCTGGCTATCTACGGAGGCGACTGTTTCTGCCTCTTCTATTACACGCAGTATCCCCAAATCCGAACGTTAGGGTTTCAGCTACTAAAAATCGAATTTGAAACTCAATTCTTTTTCACTTTTCTTGGATTCCGAAAAGTAACCGTTGTTTATTTTTTATTTTATTTTTTAATTCAGACAAAAAGTAACCGTTGTTTGGTTTTTCGAAAGTAGCCGTTGTCTGATTTTCGAAACTAGCCGTTGTCTGAATGTCTTTTTATCTATAAATTCACCATCAACGTTCTCTCGTTTTCAGACCAAACCAACCCACTTCCAAAAAAAAAATACAATCACTCTCTCTAATCAATGGAGACACAAATCTCCTTAAGACAATCATGAGTTACAACAAGACCATGTCTGTAATTTGAGAGCTCATGTTCGACGACGGTAATTGAGGCCCACGAAGCTTGACCGGTCTCGGATCCAACTGATTCGCTGATGACAATGCAACCTCAACTGATAGAGGTATGATTCTCTTCTTTCTCTCTCTCTCCCTCTTCGTTTAGCAAGTTTACTTAGAGATTCATCGGTTAGATCTGTTTAGGGTGTTAGGCTAGTTTGATTTTTACCAACCTTATGAATGGTGTGGTTTAGATTGAATTCAGTTTTTCTTATTCTTGATGTTTTTGCTTTGCAGGTGAGCAAAGTCACATGAAGCAAGCTACGTGTCTCTCTCTCTCAGTCACAGTTACAGCCACCGTTTCTGAGAAGGAAAAATCACATGAAGCAGCAAGCTACGTGTGTCTCTCTCTCAGTCACAGTCACAGTTTCTGAGTCAAGATTCTCTTTCTCAGCCGCCGTAAGGTATGAAATCCTCTTCTCTGTTTTCCAAATGTTTTTTTTTTTGTCAAAACCTTTTTTTTTTGGAAGGAGATTCTATATTTGCTGGATTGATAGACACTTTGTAAATTCATAATGTGTAAATAAAATAGAACAAGTGTCTTGTCATTAAGTTGTCCGTTAGAGATCGTTATGTTTCATTTGCCTCTTTATACTTGTGATTTTACTTAGTCAATCAAAATCAGTTCGGCAAATTAAAATCGCCTGTTTTTTTTGGGGGAAATTTCTATAATACTGCATTGATAGACACTAAATTTTCATAATGTGTAAACAAGTAGAATTTGCGTCCAATATGTTAGAGATCGTTAAGTTTCATTTCTCTTTACACTTGTGATCATTTAAGTCACTCAAAATCAGTTTTGGTAATTAGCAGTTTCAGTGTTACAAAAGTAATTAGCAGTTTCCCCCAATTCGTATTTTCATCCGTTTTCTTCAAATTTTTTTGCTTGTCTGGTTGTCGTTTGCTTGTTTTGGTTGTGTGTTTGCTTGTTTTGTCCAGTTAGGAATCAGTGATGATGTGTGAAGGCATGTTAAATAGTTTATCATTCTTTTTGTTTGGTACTGAAAATGGTGTGTCATTTGATGCTCATCGTGGCCTAATAAACATGTACTGTTTACCATTAAACTAGGTGAAACACATCATATCAACGGACATCAAAAGAACATCGTCTGGCATTCATCAATTAATCCGACAGACATGAACTGATTCAGCAATTAGGATGTCAAGTGGTTCAGGTTTGGTTGTTATTGATGATCTCTCTCTCTCTTAAGTTCCTACATGATTACTTCGGATCTTTCTAATATGTTTGTACTTTTCAGGGAAAAGTAGTATGGCATGTGCTCTTAGCCGAGTTGATAGTATTGCATTGTTACCACAAGGAGATTTCATCGAGAGGTCTCTTCCAAAATTCATAAATGTGAATCCAGAATCAACATGAAAACTTAGCCTTATGTTATAGGAGTAAAGGTGTTCATGGATGTGCTGCTCCATATTTGTGAAGAAGCTAGAGACCCAAAGGGCTGGCAAAATCCAAGGTAATTTATTCCTCTGCGTATGTTTTTCTTTAACTTAACCCATCTTGTTTGATCTTCTTTAGCCACACCGTCATAATCATCTGCTAATTTTATATGCTTCTTTTTCTTCTTCAGGTTTCATGTATTTGTGATTTGGCATCCTACTTAGACCAAAATGGATACTTCAATCCTTCATAGGTGACTCCACAAAATTTAAACAAGGATATGGGTAATGTGTACAAACCATCTCTTGTAATCTTCTGCTCAAAAATATTAAAAACTCATAGTCATGTAATGTTGAATCATTAACCCTTGTTTTCATGTTTGATTGAGATAATAATAAATCATGTTTGTAAGTTCCTTCCACCTTTTGGACGGAACCAAAAAATATTATCGATGAGAGAATGGGAATGCAAACATATGAGTTGGCATAGTCGGCCCAAATGAATGAAATCATGTTTGTGGTTAATATGTCCTTTTGTTTTCATCTATGTTAAGTGCCCAAAACTAGTGTTGTTCTTGTTATTGTTGTTACCGGATTTTTGAGTTAAGTGTGCTTCTTTAGTGAGACAAGGTGATTGTTCTGAATTTTGTTCTTGAGATGTTTTGCTCTTACGATTCTGTAACATTGAGTGGTCGCTGTTCTGTTCTGCGGTTGAAGGTCAAACACAGTGGCTTTTGATTATGCATGTTTGACTTGTCTTTTGATTAGTTGGTAATGATGAATGGTCGCATGACAATTTAGTTGGTAATTTTTTTATAGAATAAAGAGAGTGAGGTAGAAATTTGATCAGGAGTTGCTGGATGCACTTGTCTTTTTTGAACACTAGAGAGAGAGAGAGAGAGTTCTCTTGTCATCATTTTTGTCTGTGATTTGGGTTGTTCTTTGGTGGAGACAGATGCATTGCGTGTTATGTTTTATATTTCAGTACAACCTAATGTTGATTTTTTGTATTATTTAAGATTACATCCAAATCATTATTATCTCATTAAAATAAAAACGAAAAGTAGAGTACACACATGAAATAAACAGAGGAAACAGAGTTTCAGAGAAGTGGACAATAAGACACCATCGCCACTTTTTATTCAGTCTTTCTGATGAGCAGTTTTTATTTAAAACAAATCCACTTAAACGAGGATCTTCTGAGAAGAAGGCCTAGAAGTGATGTCAGCAACCCAAGCACTGACATGTGGACGCTCATCAAAGAGCTTCTTAGTTGGAGTACCAAGCAAGTACTGAATCAAAGGAATATGGTGAAGATCGACCAAAGTGAAGTGATCACAAGCCATATACTTAGACTCACTAAGCCTAGCTTCGTAGTTGTCAAGCACTTTGCCTAACTTAACCTCTTCTTCTTCAACAACTGCCTGGTCTGTGGTCAAACCAAAGAAGTTCTTGAAAACTTGTTCCCAACCAAGCTTTGATGCAACTGAGTCAAACTCATGAGCTTCTATTTCCATCCCCATGGCCAAGATTGCCATGTTCTTGGAGCCAGGCGATAGAAGTTGGTTTCCTTTGTCTGCGTATTCATGAGCTATGTATTGAGTAATTGCTCTTGATTCTGCACAAACATACATGAATAGATTGAGACATAATAGACTGAGACATTTAACCAAGATTAGGCATCCATACCAAACCACATAAATTCAACCGGTTTGGTTTATAAACCGATCATTAATATTTTTTTTTGGCTTCACACTAAACCGAATTAAAGGTTCAAAAAATTAAGAGTTTACCGAAAAGCTTGAAGTCACCATCTTCAAAGGCTGGAATTTTACCAAAAGGCTGCATAATAATTTTCAAGAATTTTCAGACCAAGATTTTCACTACTAGCTATATAAATGGAACAACATTTTTTTTTTTTTATCATGAAGAATATAATATGACACATAAGTACTTACGTTGCGGGAGAGGAAAGGCTCTTTCTTGTGTTCACCATCTTTGAGGTCGATATGAACAAGCTCAAAGTCAAGTTCTTTCTCGTGCAGAGCAATGAGAACTCGTCTCGTGGCTGTAGAAGCAGGGTGGCCAAAAACTTTGATTCCTGACATTGACTTTTTTTGTTTTTTATATTTTTCTCTTGTACTAACTTGTGAGTAAAAGGTGAGGAGTTTGATGAAATAAAGATACGAAAGGTGGAGTGTATTTATACAACAAAAACAGAGTACTTAGTGAATAAACAAAAATTAAACTGGCGCCACCAATCTTGAATACTCTTTGTCAGAGGATTATTTCAAAGTCAAGTTGATTATTGTAATAAGCAAGTTTGATTAATGTATATGATTATTTGTTTTTATTGCTTCAAGACTTTATAGAATTAAGTTAATTTTTTATTTTTGTCAGTAGAATAAAGTTAATATAAAACATTATAACCAGAGAAATTATCAACCACCGGGTTGATACCGACCACTATATTACTCTTTTATCTACTCGTCAAAGTTTGACCGGTATAGTTGGGTTCACGTGTATTGTCGAGTTCCTCCGTCTAACCGAATATTTCATTTGATAGACTAAAAGGTAACAAATGGTTGGTTACACATTGGATCTAATCATTATCAAGATGAGTTTAACCTTATTTACTTAAATAATTTTTACCATTTATTCATAATATTAAACATCTTATAAGCTCATAACATAAGCACTTGCATACAAAGTTCTCATCGATTCTTCTACTTATCGTACCAAGCGTTGGTTACACATTGGATCTAATCATTATCAAGATGAGTTTAACCTTATTTACTTAAACAATTTTTACCATTTATTCATAATATTAAACATCTTATAAGCTCATAACATAAGCACTTGCATACAAAGTTCTCATCGATTCTTCTACTTATCGTACCAAGCGTTGGGGTCACAAGCTTTCTTCCAAGCCGGTCTAGCCATAATCTTAGTCACCCACCTGTGTACGTTAGGCCGTTTTTCGAACAGTCTCTTTGTAGTTGTGTTCATAAGGTATTCTATATTAGGAAGGTGGAAAAGATCAGCTAATGTGAATCTGTTACCAGCCAAGAATCTCGATTTTTTCAGCTGTTCTTCGTAGATATCTAGAACCTTCTCTAGCTGTGGCTCGGTTTCATTTACAACTTTGTAGTCCGTCTTTAGACCTGTCATAGGCTTGATGGCTAGCTCCAAAGTGAGTATCGTTGCGGGTGGATCGAACTTAAAAGATTCGATATACATCCACATTGTTTCTGTTCCCATTTTCTTGTAGTCTTTGTGATTCAGGAGTTTTGTGCCTCTTGAACTATGAACTTTCTCGATGTATAGTGATATGGCTCGGGATTCTGAGGAAAATAAATGTCTATCAAAATAACTAATATCGAAAAATGTTTATCATCAGATCAGTTTAGTTGTAATCAAACTCTTAAAACTTACCAGTCAACTTAAGATGCCCGTCTAGTAAAACTGGGACTTGACCAAACGGCTGCATATATAAACATTGTTAATTAAACTTAAAACCTAAGATGTACCGTAACTTTAATCACAAGTAACTGATCTCTAGATAGGGCAGAAAACCATGTTAATTATGTACATATATACAGATCGATAATTCCGTATCTATAAAGTCGACCAAACAGATATATGTAACAATAAAAAATGGATTGACGATCATGACACGGTCTTTTTAATCAAAGCCATAATTTAGACCTAAACATATCTTGAAGACTTGAACCACAAGTAATCTAACGTAAGGTGAAACTTACATTAATAGAGAGAAAACTTGGCGTCTTCTGTTCACCGGTTCTCAAGTTGACGGTGATGGGATAGTAAGAAAGACCTTTCTCATGTAGAACGGCCAAGACGCGCCAAGTGTTGGTGGAGTACGGAAAGCCATAAATCTTGTACCCTGCAACTTTATATTATCTCATCATCGACTACTACGTGCGAAGAATAAGAGTAACAGAGTAAGAATACAACTCATAATATTATTCGTTTGAGAAAATTTATTTCGAAAGATCAAACAGAATTATAAATTACATTCCACTGATATTTTGCTACAAAAAAAAATCAGAAATGTAGGTGTTATTATGCTTACCTTCTTTGTTAGCTAATGCGAATGGTTCATTAAAAATGGCCATTATCATCAAGAGAGAAAACGTTACCAACAATCTAGAGAAACTCATTTTGCTATCTGAACTCAAATTCTTTTTATGTTTTTTTTTCTTGGGATAGATTTGGTTTATATAATCTTTAGTCATATAGCAACAGAAATATTGTTTAAAAAAACAACAGAAATATATATGTGCAGTTAAATAAAATGGCCACAACCATAATAATTACCTTTTCAATTTAATTTGGTCAAGACCAATTAATAAAGATTTGATAATTTAGAAAATTTAGTGTTGAAAACATTAAGTAAGAACCACCAACATGTACCATTCTATTTTTGTTTTATATCTTTATATCATTATAGTTATTTAAAATTAATGATTTGATAATAGATTAACTACTTTTTACTTTGTATATCTACAAATAAAGATTATGTATATTTAATTTGAGCATAAAAATTAATTATTAAATAATAAATAAGGTAGTGAATTTTATTAAATTATTAATTAATTAATAGTAGTGAATTTTAAATAATTAGCTAATAAATAATGTGGTGAATTTTATTAAATTGTTATTTAATAAATGAGATAGTGAATTTTATTAAATAATTAGTTAATTAATGATGTGGTGAATTTTATTAAATTAAACTATTGTAATAGGTAAAATTTTAATGTGTATTGAATAACAGTGAAAATTTTACCTATTAAAATGTTATCATAGATGTTCCCTATCTCATTTATTAAATAACAACAGTTTAATAAACTATCTCATTTATTAAACTATTGTAATAGGTAAAATTTAATAAAATGAGATAGATGAGATAGTTTTATTGAATTTATTGAGTTTTAAATAAATTTTATTAAATTTTACCTATTACAATAGTTTAATAAATGAGATAGTTTATTAAACTATTGTTATCATAGATGTTCCCTTCTTTGGAGACGTTATTTAATAAATGAGATAGTGAAAATGATATGTGAAAATTAAACTATTGTAATAGGTAAAATTTTAATGTGTATCTTAATGCAAAAAGATATATGATATGTGAAAATGTGATGTTAAATCTTGAAATCAGTGTTGATTATCTTAGTTGGATTTTCTTACATGTAACTGTAAATTTCTTTCCTTCACAGTTTTTCTTATTAGACATTTGCATGTTATATCCTTAATTTATCATACTACTATTGGTCTAAATAAAACCAGGGAAAATAACGTATATGTCAATGGATAATATCAAAAGAAAATTGAGGGATGGCTAATATAATATGTTTATACAATATTGAAGAATCTAAACATATGCCTGACTGTGATATATATTCTTACCAAACAAAAAGTGTGAGGGAAGGTATATAAAAGCTAAGACTGAATACAACAAATCCTTTAACAAAAAAGAAGATTGATACATAACTCTGAAATAATGCAATTTGATAGCAAAATTACTAGTGATATTGCAACAAAAAAAAACGCATGCAATGCAAGAATCAATAATAAATCATTATTATTTTTACTAGGATATGAATTCTGCAAAGTAATTTCCATGTGGAATTAGTCATTATTCTAAGACTCGTTGTGAAAAGCAAAGCAAAGAGTAGAGATGGTAAAATGATAAAGACACAATTAAAATACATTTGAGGAAGATAAACATAAACAGATATCCTTGACTGATTTTAGAGAACCCAGAATCTTCCCATTCTCATGGACACAACAAAAGCCACCAGTATAATCACCAATAATAACTTTTAAATTACAACGCACCATCTTCGAGAAGAACTTGAATGATCGGTTTAGGTGGTTGCAAGACCGGTTTAGGTGGTTGCAAGACCGGTTTAGGTGGTTGCAAGACCGGTTTAGGTGGGGTTGCAAGACCGGTTCGATTCCAAAATTATTACCGTCCGTTAAGAGAAACGCACGCGATCGAAACATATTCAAAACTTAAGGGAAATATAGCCGTTACAAATGCGCTAGCTTTCTCAATAAATATGAAACACACTAGAACTAAAAAAACAGTAGATTCAGACAACAAAACCAGTCATAACTCAAAACACACTATTATTCAGACAAACAAACCAAACCATTATCCCCTTCTTTCTTCTTTTCTCCAATTAAATCCATGTCCGACCGCTAATGTCAAAAATACAAATCTCCAACCTCCTCCTTCCACTAAAACTTTCTGTAAATCTTTCAATCCTGTCTCTGTGCAATGGAGAAACCACCGGAAAAGTGAAGAAGGATTTCAAAATCGATCAAAACCGGTCTCCAATTCCGCGTTCCTGAAGAAAGGCTCAAAGACACGGTGGTGGAGCTCCGGTTTACATGGCCGCCGTCCTCCTCAAGTACCTATAGCTGCTGAAGTTAAGTCTCTCGGCTCAGATCTGATTTTTGTTTAGCGAAAATCATTTGTCAGATTTTCTAAGATCTGTGATTCATTTCAGGAGTTTGCTGTCAGAGACAACAAGAAGTCGATCATCAGTCATCTTCTTCTTTTGGCGATTAGGAACGATGAATTGGGTTTTACACTTCTACCAAAATTTTCACTTTTTTTTTTCTTTTTTTTTTGTAATTTTTTTTAAAGTAAATTTGTAAAATATATATACATAGAGAGATAAGGGGGGAGAGAAGAGTGAGGGCAGAGGAGAGAGAGAGGGGAGAGAGAGAAGGAAGAGATAGATAGAGAGAGACGAGAGAGAGGGTAGGGGGAGCGCGGCTCCGGGGGAGCGAGGCTTCGGGGGAGAGCCGTGCTCCGGGGGAGAGCCGTGCTCCGGGGGATCCGGGGGAGAGCCGTGCTCCGGGGGATCCGGGGGAGAGCTTGTCCGGGGGAGAGCGTGGCGCGGCTCCGGGGGAGNTCCGGGGGAGAGCCGTGCTCCGGGGGAGAGCCGTGCTCCGGGGGAGAGCCGTGCTCCGGGGGAGAGCCGTGCTCCGGGGGAGAGCCGTGCTCCGGGGGAGAGCCGTGCTCCGGGGGAGAGCCGTGCTCCGGGGGAGAGCCGTGCTCCGGGGGAGAGCCGTGCTCCGGGGGAGAGCGTGGCTCCGGGGAGAGCGCGGCTCCGGGGAGAGCGCGGCGCGCGGCTCCGGGGAGAGCGCGGCTCCGGGGAGAGCGCGGCTCCGGGGAGAGCGCGGCTCCGGGGAGAGCGCGGCTCCGGGGAGAGCGCGTGTCCGGGGAGAGCGCGTGTCCGGGGAGAGCGCGGCTCCGGGGAGAGCGCGGCTCCGGGGAGAGCGCGGCTCCGGGGAGAGCGCGGCTCCGGGGAGAGCGCGGCTCCGGGGAGAGCGCGGCTCCGGGGAGAGCGCGGCTCCGGGGAGAGCGCGGCTCCGGGGAGAGCGCGGCTCCGGGGAGAGCGCGGCTCCGGGGAGAGCGCGGCTCCGGGGAGCGCGCGGCTCCGGGGGGAGCGCGCGGCTCCGGGGGGAGCGCGCGGCTCCGGGGGGAGCGCGCGGCTCCGGGGGGAGCGCGCGGCTCCGGGGGGAGCGCGCGGCTCCGGGGGGAGCGCGCGGCTCCGGGGGGAGCGCGCGGCTCCGGGGGGAGAGCGCGGCGCGGCTCCGGGGGAGAGCGCGGCGCGGCTCCGGGGGAGCGCGTCCGAGGGAGAGCGCCAGGGGGAGAGCGCCAGGGGGAGAGCGCCCGGGGGAGAGCGCCCGGGGGAGAGCGCCCGGGGGAGAGCGCCCGAGGAGAGCGCCCGAGGAGAGCGCCCGAGGAGAGCGCGGCTCCGAGGGAGAGTTTATGGTGCGATTAGTTATTTGTAAATAACATTAAAGCGATTAATTATTATAGATAGCATATATAAGAAAATTCAGTATTTTTGTAGGGGTTATTAGCCCACATATTTCAAGAAAAATAAGAAAATATGAAAATTTTGTTTTATTGCATAGCTACATCATGCACTAACATAGTATGAATATTAAAGAGGTTTAAGACCTTAGATGTTTCCATTTCTGTAGAAAATAGAGATTTTATAGGGGTTATTCCACTTATTAGGTGTTATATGAAGTTTAAGTAAATTACTTAATAAAAAATTAGAAATGATGCCCATCTACCATGAAAATAACTTTACCATACATATAAAAAGTTTTTTTTTGTGTGATTAGTTATTTGTAAATAAAGTTATTTGTAAATAACAATTAAAGAGATTAAATATTATAGATAGCATATATCAGAAAATTTAGTATTTTCGTAGGGGTTAGCCCACATATTTCAAGAAAAATTAGAAAAAATGAAAATTTTGTTTTATTGCATAGCTACATCATGCATTGACATAGTATGAATATTAAAAAAGTTTAAGACCTTATATATTTTCATTTCTCTAGAAAATAGAGTTTTTATATAGGTTAGTCTACTTAATAGATGATATATGAAGTTTAAATAAATTACTTAATAAAAATTAGAAATGATGCCTATCTACCATGAAAATAAGTTTACTATACATATAAATACATTTTGGTGTGTTTAGTTGATTGTAAATAAAACTACAGAGATTAAATATTACAAATAACATTTATCAGAAAATTCAGTATTTTCGTAGGGGTTAGCCCACATATTTCAAGAAAAATAAGAAAATATAAATTTTTTTTTATTGCATAGCTACATCATGCAGTGACATAGTATGAATATTAAAGAGGTTTAAAACCTTAGATGTTTCTATTTATTTAGAAAATAGAGTTTTTATAGGGGTTATTCCACTTATTAGGTGTTATATGAAGTTTAAGTAAATTACTTAATAAAAATTAGAGATGATGCCCATCTACCATGAAAATAAGTTTACCATACATATAAAAAAGTTTTTTTGTGTGATTAGTTATTTTTAAATAAGACTAAAGAGATTAAGTATTATAAATATCATTTATTAGAAAATTCAGTATTTTCGTAGGGGTTAGCCCACATATTTCAAGAAAAATAAGAAAATATGAATTTTGTTTTGTTTTATTACATAGCAACATTATGCACTAACATAGTATGAATATTAAAGAGTTTTTAGGCCTTAGATGTTTTTGTTTCTCTAAAAAATAGAATTTTGTAGGGGTTAGTTAACTTAATAGATGGTATATG